AATATAACTTTATATTCAAGGGCCAAAATACCTGTTGGTTTTCCTACCAATAAATATGTGACAGCAAATAAAGAAGGAATGGCAGGGGCGCCTGGGTGGCTCAGTGGGTTGAGGCCTCTGCCTTCAGCTCAGGTCATGATCTCGGGGTCCTGGGATCGAGCCCTGCATCGGGCTCTCTGCTCAGCAGGGAGCCTGCTTCCTCCCCTCTCTCTCTGCCTGCCTCTCTGCCTACTTGTGATCTCTGTCAAATAAATAAATAAAATCTTTAAAAAAAAAAAAAAAAGGAAGGAATGGCATAAGACTGAATGAGAAATTATTTTCCTAAGTCTGGAAATGACTCAACATGTAGCTTTGGTGTCTACATAATGATGATAATCCAAGAAAACACACTTTCTAAATAATGCCAAAGGGAAATATTACATTAGCTTCATTATCCTCATATTTTTGTAAGGGCCAGAATATTCTTCAAAATATCTTTTTAAAAATGGAAATGCTGGGGGGCGCCTGGGTGGCTCAGTGGGTTAAAGCCTCTGCCTTCGGCTCAGGTCATGATCTCAGGGTCTTGGGATTGAGCCCCGCATCGGGCTCTCTGCTCAGTGGGGAGCCTGCTTTCTCCTCTCTCTCTCTCTCTGCCTGCCTCTCTGCCTACTTGTGGTCTCTGTCTGTCAAATAAATAAATAAAATCTTTGAAAAAAAAAAAAATGGAAATGTTGGGGTGCCTGGGTGGCTCAGTTGGTCAAGCAACTTCGACTCAGGTCATGATCCTGAAGTCCCGGGATCAAGTCCCACATCAGGCTCCCCGCTCAGGAGGAAGTCTGCTTCTCCCACTGACTTCTCTCCTCTCATGCTCTCTCTCATTCTCTCTCAAATAAGTAAATTAAAAAAAATTTACAGAAATGGAAATGAACAACCAAAAAGGTTAGGCAATTTGCTTGAAGCTTCAACGGAAGACACGGGAGGAGACAGTGTTTAAATCAGATCCCTCACGGGGCACCTGGGTGGCTCAGTTGGTTCAGTGTCTGCCTTCAGTTCAGGTCATGGTCTTGGGGTCCTGGGATTGAGCCCCACGTCGGGTCCCCTGCTCGGTGGGGAGTCTGCTTCTCCCCCCGCTCCCCTTCTGCACCTTGCCCTGCTTGTTTTCTCTCACATAAATAAATCTTTTTTTAAAAAAATGAATCAGATCCCTCGGAGTGCACAATGTTCTTTTTACTTGCCGAAGAGGAGAGCATCTGGGAGTCTGGCAGAGCTCCCACAAAAAGATGTACTGATGATGCTACTGGTTCGGTGGAAAATGAGGGGAAAACACGTATATAAGGATGTTAAAACTGCCAGTGCAAATTAGCGGGGAAATTATTTGACAGAGAGCGAGTGAGAGTGAGTGCGAGCACACACGAACAAGCAGGAGGAGTGGCAGGAAGAGGGAGAGGAAGAGGCAGGCTCCCCAAGGAGCAGGGAGCCTCACGCGGGACTCGATCCCAGGACACTGGGATCATGACCTGAGCCAAAGGCAGACGCTTAACCGACTGAGCCACCCAGGGTCTCCTATTGGGAAATTTTTTTAAAAATGCATAGCCAATGAGTCTCTTAAAGGCTTACCTTTGACTATTTTAGCCACCTAGCATAACATTCATTAAAGACCTACATAGTTTAGGAAGATTTGTAGTTCTACTACTCTGAAACAACCTCCAAGGTCCACAACAAAGTGATTTGTTACTTTGTTGAGGCAAGAATTATAGCCCCAAGGCTCAAGTATGGGAGCAAGTCATATAAACAAGGACTATACCCAGCCAACTACCAAGTACTTTGATATTCTTATTTCATCTTTAGGATAATCTTGCATGGTATTTCTGTCCCTATTTCACCGATGTGAGAAATATTGTGTGGTGGCAATAATGGCAACATTAAAATGTATGCTATAAAGTACGACAAGCACACATTGTGTATTTCTAGCCTAATAAAATACTATTCAAGGGTCAAAATTTAAGATACTTGCCAAATTCTTAGTTCTTCCCTTTAGTGAATAAAATCCTATGTTCACGTGATCACATTCTCCATTGATAGTACTATCTCCCTAGCTGAAGTGATGATTTACCTGTTATTTTATTTTTAAAAATTTATTTATTTTTTTTATTTGTCAGAGAGATTGAGAGAGCAGCAGGTAGAGAGAGAAGCAGGCTCCCCGCTAAGCAGGGAGCCCAGTGTGGGACTTGATCCCAGGATGTTGGGATCATGACCTGAGCCAAAGGCAGACACTTAACCGACTGAGCCACACAGGCATCCCTTACCTGTTATTTTAAAAAAGAAAAATAAAGGTACACACAAGTATAAAACTTGTCATCATTAAACAAAAAAAAATCTTCTCAAGTAACTTAGATTATTGTAGGAACTGTTGCATGTTATCATTAACTCTTCTCAGTTTCCAGTAATATACACCACTACTGTCCTTTATGTAGATCAGAGTAATACAGGCAGTTTAGTCTATAAGAATGCGTGAAGGATTGGGAAAGAGGTGGCTCAACTTTTCTATGCTTCCATTTCCTCAGTGACCAAATAGTCTAGTGAATGAGTGGTACAAAGGAACTTCTAAGAGCTTCTGCGGGAGCCCAATAGCATTAATAGATGAAAATCTATCTAAAAGCTTAAATTTTAAATCAATGTAAAGCACTGTAAATGTAATTGAAGAAACAAGTATTGCATATGTATCACAAGTAATGAACCACAGCTCTAATGGCTATTCAAAAGATGCATTAGGTTGGGGCACCAGCATGGTTTAGACGGTTAAACATCCAACTTCTTGATTTCAGGTCATGATCTCAGGGTTGTGGGACTGAGCCCTGGGTGGAGCGCCACACTCAGCAGGGAGTCTGCTTGAGACTCTCTCTCTCTCTGCCCTGCCCTCCTCTGGCCCCATGCCATTCTTTCAAAATAAATGAATAAATCAAAAAAAAAAAAAAAAAAAGAAAGAAAAAGATGCATTAGGGAACAAGTGAAAAGAAAAGAAAGTGAATAGAAATAGAGTTTACAGAGTCATGGGGAAAAAAGCAGTTTAGTATCAAAGCCTGAGAAGATATAATCAGATGTCCAGGAACTAGACAAGCCAAGATTAGAAGAATCCCTTGTGTAAACTGCCCCTCCCCTACCAGCAGAAACCTCATCTTCCCCCCACCCCCAAAGATTTTTATTTGTCAGAGAGAGTGAGCGCCCACACGCCTGCACAAACAGGAGGAACAGCAGGCAGAGGGAGAAGCGGGCTCCTTGCTGAATAGGGAGCCCGATGCAGCACTGGATTCCAGAACCCTGAGATCACCACCTGAGCCAAAGGCTGAGGCTTAACTGACTGAGCCACCCAGGTGTCCCTCAGCAACCTCATCATCTGACTTGTTTCTTCCCAAATTACATGTATAATTTGGGAGAAGAAACAAAAATGCTGGGGAAGTTGCAATCACCTAACTGAAAGATGGAAAGGTATCCACTCTGAGTACTTACAAATACTTAGAAACATGGCAACAGGGGCAGAGATGCCACTGGCCCTGGAAATGACAATATATTCTATAGTCGGGTCATATTCAGCATACCTTTTCACTTTCTATATTTAAAGTAAAAGCAATTTTCTTGGTCCTCTATTTAATACTTAAGTCATTTGCCTGATAACGCAATGTCAGTACACTACCCCCTTCAGTCACTTCATCTTAGTGTAATTGATAAATGCCACCAGTATTCAGAAGAGTGCACTCCAATCATACGATCTCGTTTTCCCATTATGGGTGTGTGCTCTCAGTAGTCATCTCCCTCATACATACTTTTTCATCCAGCTCTCAGTAGTCATCTCCCTCATACATACTTTTTCATCCAGCAAAGTGTTTGTGCCCTTACTTTGTGCCAGGAACTGTCCTGGCACTTGGGGTAACCATGTAAACAGGACCCCGGGACTTCCTCCTTACCCTTAGGTCAACAAGAAAGTAAATGAATACAAAAATGACAAAATTGAGATCAGCGCTGAGAAAGATATTTTTAACAAGAAAGTTGGGGGTTACAGAACTTCTTTAAATAGAGTGGTCAGGGAAGGTTACTCTAGGAAGATTTAGGAAGAGACCCCAGGGAAGAAGAGGCAGTTACACCCATATGCTTGAGTGTGTATGTGCGTGTGCAATTGGGGGGGGTGGGGTACATGGTAAGAAGAGCGTCCCAGGAATAGAGATCGGAAAGTGCAAGTGGAATGTAAAAGCACAGGTATAAGGGATGGGCAGGAGGCCAATGTGGCTGGAGCTTACGGAGCAAGTGACATAAGACCGTAAACGTGGGTAAAGACCGTATGGTACGTATGGTAGAGGGAGGGCCTTGTAGGCCACAGCAAGGAGTCTGGATTTTATTTAAATGCAATGGAAAGCCAAAAAATTAGTTCAGCCAGGTGTATTACACGATCCATTTTTCTTGTCCAGAGATCGCCCTGGTAAAATGAGATGTGGGAAAAATGTTTTAAGCGCAGAGGATCGTTAAGTCGGGCATGATAATTATTCATTTCTCCCGGTCTCCTATTTTCCACCTGTAAAGCAAGTGGTGTAAGTTAGAAGCCATTTCCTTCCCACTGCGAAGTGCCCGGGCAGTGAGTTCCGAGAGCAAGGGCCGTGTCAGATTGACCACGGAATTCCCCTTCATCCCCGCCCGCGCCCAGCACGCAACCGGCACCCTGAAACCGTCGGTCAGCGCAATGAATCAATGAATGGCCCGTCCCGGCCGCGAGGGAGGCGCTCCGGCGCGGGACCAGGCCCCGGGGCCGGAAAAGAACGCGATACGCGGCGCAGGAGGCCGCGAGAGCCAACAGAGAGGAAAGTGGGGGCCGACTCCACCACAGTCAAGGCGCGACGAGGAGGGGGCCGGGGCCTCGCAGATTGAGGGCAGGAGGAGCTGGACTCCGGGCCCCACACGGGGACCTGGGAGAGCAGGCCGAAACTCGGGGCTAGAGGGGGTCTGGGCCCAGGCCGGAACGCCCAGTCACTCACCGCAGCTGTCGCCAGGCTGTGCATGTTGGGAGCGGCCGCCGCTCTCCTCCCACTGCCGGACGCGTCGCAGCCGCGTCCCCGTTTCAGTGACTCTGCCGCCAAAGATGAAGAGCCGCGGCAGCCGCCATCCGCCTCCGGCTCGCTCCGCCCCCTTCGCAGCCCTATGACCTTTCACCCCTGACCCCGCCCACACACCTCTTCCCGCCTCCCAGCTCCCGGCGGAGTTTACAATCCAAAAGTCTGTCCTTTGCCCCTTAAGATTCTGGGCCAGAAGGACGTCCCCCACCTACTAGTCCCCGCATCCTCTGGCTGCGAGCAGGTATCCCCAAAGAGGGGCGTGAACTCTGACTCTCCTCCAGAGGCCAGTGAAGGGCGGGAAAAGCCGAGCAGTCTCGGAGGACAAGTAGTGCGCATGCCCGATTGGGCTGTGTAGGAGGGAAATGGTGGGAGGGCCACAGGGCGCGAAGTGGATAGTGCGCATGCGTACTACTGCACGCCGGGGGCGGAGCTGTCTCGTCCAGACTTCGCTCCGTCCTGGGGCGGGACGAAGGCTCAGGAGGGGCGGAGTTTGTAGGCTTGCGCGCACGCGCTTCATCTGGTCGCGTCGAGTGTGCGTGCGTGCGTGCGTGTTTGCGTGTGGTCACAGTTCCCGCCATCAGCCGCTCTCCCTGACTAGGGGGAGTGAGCGGCCCCTCTTTTACGTGCCCGGTGTCCCTTCCTTCCTTACCCCCGGCTCCTCCCCCTCCGCGCGGACTCTGTGCTTCCGGCAGGCCAGTGCCGGGCTCCGGACTCGCAGGTACAGGTAAGGCGCGCCCGGCGGACGAGCTTCTCAACTGAGCCGTTTTCCCCAGATCCCCCTCCCCCCGGGGGCCCCCCCTCCCCGCTTGCGGTCCGCCCACTCGGTGTTCACTCTTCTGGAGTTCGCCCCGTTGCTGCTTAGCTCACCCCTACTCCTACGACGCTCCCAGGGCCTCACAGGTACTCCTCTTGGGTTCCCCCCCAGGCTTTCCCTCTCCTTTGACCTGGTCTTTACTGTCACGCTCTTCCTCCGCAACCCAAACCTGGCCCCTTTTCGCTGGGGGCTGTCGTCGTCCGCCACTCGCCCCTTGGCAAGGCCTACTGTCTCTTCAGGTGTCTTCCGTTGCCGCGCACCCATCAGGCCTTGGACGTTCACTCTTGACCATTCTGCATCTTCCCTTTCCGAACCATTTATCACTAAAACGCAGGAATTGTATTTTTGTCGTGCGTTTGGTTGTTCCGCGTCTTCTAGCTATCAGACCAGGTTGTCAGGTTTACCTATTTTAGGTCATGATCCATGAAAGGAAATGATCACTGATGATAAAATCCTGTGTTCTGGAGAGTTGGCCTGTAGTGGTTTTGTGGTAATCGTCTTCAAAATTTCGGCTCTATTTAAATGCCTTTTGTGAGGGGCGGGTAGGCAGTATCTAACAAGTCTCTAACTGGAAAAGATGCTTGAGACAGGCTGTCAAGGGGGCAGTTGGAGCTCAGAGGAGAGTTTTGGGCAGGCTGTATAAACTAATGTGTGTATATCCTCTGCCATGTTGATAGTAAGTGAAGTTATGCATGTGGATGAAATTGCCTAAGGAGAGTGTAGTACTAGAAAAAACGGACCCAGGATGGAGCACGGAGGGATTCTTGGTGATTAATAACTGTATAGAGGAGGGCGAGTCTTTTGTAAAAAGAGATGAAAGAAGTAATCAATAGTGTTGAATTCTGTTGAAAGATAAAGTTGAATGAGGATTGTAAAGCCTGGTGACATCAAAGTAATCGATGATCACGGCGAGAAATGTTTGATGAAGTGAAATGGAGTATCTGGGTTTAGTGTGAGGGTCTTGTTCACCTTTTACTCTTCTGTCCTAAGCTTTAAATTCCACCTGTATATTGAAGACTTAAGAATTTTAATTTCCAGCCTTTTCCCTTTATTTTCAGCTCAATATTAAATAACCAGTTCAGTTGTCTGCTTGACATCTCCACTTGATTTTTTTTTCCTTAGGAATTTCAAATATGATACATCTAAAACCAAAGTCTTAATTTTTCTCTCTGTATCCCAAATTCTTTGTCCTTCAGTATTCTATTTCATTAAGTGGCATATTCATTTATCAACTAACATAAGCTAGAAACTTGAAGTCCATTCTTTTTTTTTTTTTTTTTGAAGTCCATTCTTGACTTCTACTTCATCCCATGTATTTTTAAGTTCTGTTTATTCTATATCCAACACAGTTGGCCCTTGAATAGCGCAAGGGTTAGGGGCATGGACCCCTTCGAATCGAAAATCCGCATGTAACTTTTGACTCCCCTCAAACCTAGCTACTAACAGCCTACTGTTAACTGGAATGCCAGTAGCATAAACAGTCCCTTAATACGTACGCTGTATGCTATATATATTTTATGTTGTACTCTTAGAATAAAATAAGTTAGACAAAAGTGTTAAGAAAATCTTAAAGAAAATACATTTACAGTACTGGATTTATTGAAAAAAAAATTGTGTATATGTAACTCCATTCATTTCAAACCCATGTTGTTCAAGGCTCATCTGTATGTCTGAATGTATTTCTGTACATCTTCAGTATCACTTTTTGAGCTCAAGCTGCAAATCTTTCACCCAGACTTAATTAGTCACTGGTTCCTTATATTCTCATCTGTAAAAATGGGACTAATAATCATTTTATTTGATTGTTATGAGGATTAAGTGGCACATGGCACACAGTAAATAGCCAATGACCATTGTTATTGTAATTGTTATTATAAGCTGCAACACTTCAGTATTCTCGTCTGCCCTATTTTCTTTCATTCTTCCTCCTTTTACTCTCCTCCCCAAACCCAAACAATCACTTCTCCATTCAACAATAACATGTTATTTCTCTGCTTCAGTGGGTTTCCCATCACTAAACTGTTTATTATATTTAGGATAAAATTCAAAATCCTTACTGTGGTCTACAGGATTCTACATAACTTGATTCTTCCCGGCTTCACTAGCTTTATCTTGTTCCAGCCCCTTCTTGCTCACTAAACTCTACCTGAACTGCTTTTCATTTCATTAGTCACACCAGGTTATTTTCCAACTACTGGGCCTTTGCACATGCTGATTGTTCCAGCACAACCATCCCTGTTTAACTCATTTTTTAATACTAGCTTAGTCTTTGCCTCTTCCTTCTACCCACCGAGTCTTAAATCAGGTACTCTATTATAATGTCTTGTCACGACTTTATATTTGTATTATTTTTTAGAACTTGTAATTATATATTGTGTGATTATTTAAAGCATGTATCCTATTAGAATATATGCTAGTAGCTATTTCATTTTTATTTCTCAAGAATTTGTTAAGTAAATAAGTAAACTGGAGCTTGTTTTAGGAACCATCATGTCTTTTGGAGTACTAGTTTATTGATGTCATCTGATGACAAGAACGTTTTCACTCTTCTGACAAATTAAAGGATGCAAAAGAGAATAACCCAAGAGTTTTCCAGCTATGGATGATTTTACTCATGCTTAGGGCATAAAAATCATTCAGATTGTAGGCTCTGAATTGAAGATAAACTTTATCTAGGTCGATTTCTCCCTTTTAGTCATATACTAATTTTATCTCTGCGTTTGTTTTATGGATCTTTTTAGGAAAGAAAGCTCTTAGAAATCAGAACAGTGGTTTATATATTTTACCAACAGGTTAAACTATGAGCATAGTGAGGATGAGATTTCCAAAAATAAAGGAAAGTTCCATATTTAAGTAAGTTATTGTTGGTGGATGTGGAAAGTATTAAAATTTAATAATTTGTGTATATAGAACAGGATTTGTGTTGAAAAATGGAAATAAATATAGGAAGTGTATGAGTGCCAAACACAGAAAGGCATTTGGGTTAATTTTATGTGTAGTGATGAGCCGTTAAAAATGTTTCAGTCAGGGAGAATGTTTCAGTTAAGCAAGATGAGAACATTCTAGAGAGATGCTGTACAGCATTGTACCTCTAGTTAACAGTATCGTATTGTACACTTAAGGTTTTGTTAAGAGGATAGATCTCATATTAAATATTTTTACCATAGTAAAATAAAATTTAAAAAAATGTTTGGGAGAGAATTGGCTTCAGTAACAAGTAGTTAGCACTTACTAAGTCTTATTTTTTTGTAGTACAAAAGAAATAAGGTAGGTTCCTGCCCCCGCCCCCAATCACTTAGGAGAAAGTTAAGGAGACAAATAGTGCACTCTTTACTTGCCAAGAGAGAGTAGTTCTTTAGAAGGGCATTGTAGGGCACAGGATTCATTGGATAGAAACATCCTGAGAGAATGGAGACTGGAAAGTGATTGTTGCTGCAAATCATTGATGAGGATGCACTGTGGTAGTGGTTAAAAATGTGGGTTCTGGTGTTAGACTTAGTTTTGTCTTTTAATGAATCCATAACTGGATAATCTAAGTCTCCGTTTCCTCATCTGTGAAATAGAGATAATAATCCCTGTCTTTTAAGATTATTGGGAAAATTAAATGAGATAATGCATGCATGATGCTTAACACTATGCTTAGTCAGTAATTGCATAATAAATGTTAGGTGGGAGTGATGGCAAAATGAGGAGTTTCCGAATCAGGGTAGCAGCTATGAAAAGGCTGGGTTTCAGATGAATGAGAAAGAGGGAAAAGCTGATGCTAATTTTTTTTCTTTTTTTCTTTTTTCTTTTTCTTTCTTTCTTTTTTTTTTTTTTCTGGAATGATGGTGGAAGGAAAATGTAGAGAAGTCTGGGAGCCTCTGATAATGAGGGCATGGACTGTATCATCCTCACATTTGTATTCTTTCCACGGTGCTGTCAAATTAAAGTAGCTCAGTCATTTTTTTACTAAGTGAACAAATGAGTTTAAAGTTGATATTGTAGCATTCAAGAGGGCAGTGAAAGATGTTTGGTTAGAACTTCAGGGACAGTTGAGGCTTAGAGAGCCTCAATTTGAGGAACAAACCCATAAAGAAAAGTAAAAACCAAATTTACTCACCTTTTGAAATTTGTAGCAGCACATCATGGAAATAGTATTTTCAGACTTAAGACATCATTATGTAACAATGTTTATAAAGTCAACAAAGAATATACTCTTTTTCACTGCCCTCTTAGTTTCAAAATGTAGCAGGGATAAATACACCAAGAACACAAATGGATAAGGTACAGGCCTGGAGTCCCTCATTTTGCACAGCAGATAAATCCCTAAAGTCGATGGTGTATATATGTGTGTATCTTAAGCATTATATTTTAAATGTTTTTAGTAAGGTAGCTTGTAGTTTTTAAATAATCAAGAAGAGTTCATCTTTGTTGTATAAAATGATTGATTTTTTTTTTAATTTTAATTTTGGTAAATTGGATTCTTTTAAAAAGGCACACTTATATTTTCTTTAGCTGAGTTGATGGCTTCCGGAGAACTGGCATAGCTGCAAAATATGAGTAGTTCCCCAAGAAGAGTGCATTGCCTTTGGCACAAGGATCAGAATAAAGGTGAATTGTTATTACATAGGGTTTTTCAGTAAAAGTCACTGAAAAGTAAGTAATGTTTTTATTTGGATGTATGTTTCCAAGAGTATGCAAATTGGCGAGAATTAACAGTTCTTTCTTCTATTTTGTAGTAATGGTTTTATTTTAGCATGTTTGGTCTACCACAGAACACCCCATACATAAGGATGTTTTCAGAGTAGTACTTAAAATATGTGCATTTAAATAACCGTACAGGGTACGGAAACATTTTTGTCAATATTATTGATTGAGCTTTCATAGAATGCTCAGAGTTAAACAGTAATTCTAATAATTGTGAGAAAAGTTAGGGAAAGAGGACTCTATCTGGACCTACTTAAAGAATAATTTGATCTTGTTACACCTTGTCTTAGTAATGTTGCTTTGATATGGAATTAGCATCATAGAGTTCAAAGAAACCTTCTCATTGGCCTAGGTTCATAGAAAGTTTAACTGTTACTACTGGATCATGCTGCATACTGAAAAAGAAACTTAGTTTTGTTTGTTTGTTTGTTTTTTCTCTTAATAGAATAGGGCAAACCTTGATAGTATAATGAATGTATAAAAGTAGATATAGTTAATTCATTTAGTGCAAGAGCCAGGAATGGACTACATTAAGGGATTAAGAAAAAGTTTTGTTGGTTCTACAAATTTTATGTCCTGTACCTTTTAGGGTCTTCTTTTTTTCCTTAGAGGAAAGAACGGTTGCTAGTAGAAATGGTCAAGGAAGTGTTCAGTATCTGAAGTAAAATTTCATATACTTAAATCTTTGCATCAAAATGTTTTGAGAATTGTACAGAGAAATTATATATAGAAACAGAAGTAAGCAATAAAGTTTTTTCTCATGTGCTTTAGTGAACTTGGAAATCTTCACCTCCAATTTTGTTGAATAATATAATTTTTGAAAATATGTTTTGTTAGAGGAATTTAAGGTCATTGACCTTTACTTACTTTTGGTCTATAAAGAAAACACTAAGGTAATGGGGTTTTGTTTTCTCTTTTAATTGGTACCCTCACCCCTAATGACATTTCAGGAAAGGTGAGGGAATTTGGCAGAACTCTTAAAATGGAGTTTCTTCATTGAGCAATGAATAGTATGAATCCCAGTTTAAGCAGGTTTACTAATGTTTTTGCTTTAATGCATTCTGTAACTGCATATTAATTCTCGTTTTTCCACAAATGATTTTTGTCTCATTGAATTTTTTTTTTAAAGATTTTATTATTTATTTGACAGAGCAAGAGAGAGCACAAGCAGAGGGAGCAGCAGAGGGAGAGGGAGAAGCAGTCTCCCCACTGAGCAGGGAGCCCAGTGTGGGACTCCATCCCAGGACTCTGGGATCATGACCTGAGCTGAAGGCAGATAGATGCTTAACTGACCGAGCCCCTCTCTTACTGAATTTTGATTAAGATATGAAGACAGCAGGGGCACCTGGGTGGCTCAGTGGGTTAAGCCTCTGCTTTCGGCTCAGGTCATGATCTCAGGGTCCTGGGATCGAGCCCCACATCGGGCTCTCTGCTTGGCAAGGAGCCTGCTTCCTTCTCTCTCTCTCTGCCTGCCTCTCTGCCTACTTATGATCTCTCTCTGTCAAATAAATAAATAAAATCTTTAAAAAAAAAAAAGATATGAAGACAGCTTTGCATTTAGTAGAAAAGTTTAGATGCAGTGTTCAAAACATGAGTTATATGAATTACAGTGCCTAGTGGTACTTTTATAAAGAGTTTAGTAAATATAACCCTGTATTGGCCATTTAAGAGGGATTTATGGCTTCAGTATCTGCTCTTGTGTATTTTAACAGTAAATTGAATAGAATTGATAGTACTGATTTCATTATTCTTGAATAATAAGTTTGTTTCTTGTGTGTCAGACACTGCCATAATGGGGACTCAGAGTTTAAAGAATATATTCACTGTCTTCAAATAGCAAAGTGTAGATAGAGACAAAGAAGTAAACAGTTTATGATACAATGTTATACTGGAAGCAAGCACAGGGTACAGCAGGAGAATACAGAAGCTTGAAATAGTCTCAGTGTGAATATGGGATTGAGAGAAAAAGGGAAAGGTAGCTAGGAAAGGCTTCTTAAAGAAGAGAACATCTAAGCTGAGCCTTGATTTTATAGCCAAGAGAAGAAATCACAGGGGTTTTTGGGGGGATGGGGAGAGTCCATACAAATTCTTCAGAGGTAAACCATAGTGCATGCAAAAGTATGGTGGTATGAGAACATTAAGGCTTTTGGGGGGCAATTACATAGTTCAGATAGCTGGCTTTGGAGGGCTTGTGGGGGATAGAGAGGTAAGTAGGCCCTGATCATAAAGGGTGTTTATGTCATGATTTTATTGAGTCTAGATTTTATTGTTTATTTATGAGGGCAGTGGAGAACTGTTGAATGATATTAAGGAGGAGAGTGATGTGATTTGATCTACAGTTCATTATAATAAAGATGTCTGAAAGGTGTATGGAGGTAGAATTGACAGGACTCTACCGTGATCTTCCATTTCCAATTCAATACCAGTAATCATCAAGAGAAATCGGAGTTAACTCCTATGTTTCTGGATGGACAACTGGGGTAGGAGAAGGGTAACATATTCTTGACAGTGTTGAGAGCAGAGTGGAAAGAAGTCTAAGGTCACATCCAGACAATGAAGCACCAAATTATTGATTGCAAAAAAAGTATTATAAACACGCATCGCTGGTCCAAATTCTGTAGTTACTAGTTTGAGCAGTGCCGTGTTAACATGTCTTTAAATAGTAGTGGACTTTGTTACTTTGATGGATTTATATACCTAGCAAATTATCCTATCTAAATCTGGCCAAAGTAGGCATTCAAGAAATTTGATGATATAAGTGAATAGTCATGGAGGACTTAAAATGCATAACATCTTTTAACTATTCAAAGTGTTTTCACATCTTTTTTAAAATTTTACTCCCAGTTATTTGATATTACAGTACCTAGAGGCCTCAAACTAGGGGGCCCCAGGCTGTATCCTGTGTATAGGGGTTTTGTTTGATTTGTAGCTTTTATAAAAATAAATTTGAAATCATTGCCCACAATTTTAAATGGGAAGTTTTGTATAAATATTTGGAATTCATGTTCTTGAAAAGTTTGCTGATGTGGCAATAACTGAGTTGACTAATTCTACCTGGTAAAATTAGTTAGATTTCACTAGTAGTTTTTATGGTTTGCCTACTTCAGTCATGTCACCTGCATGGCCCTTCTAGGCAGTTGAGTTTGACCCCCTGTTAACAGCTTATTTATTGGAGGTCTTTAGAGAAAGGTGTTGCAGGCAAAGAATAAATTCAGAAAGTGAATACTGATTTCATTCATATTAAAGCTTTTATCTGTTGGGTGCCAAATGTGTGTTATTTCATTTAGTTATGCAACACTATGGCATTTTCTATTCCTATTTACAGTTGAGAAGACTAATAGTTAGAAAGGGAAGTTATAAATTAGGGACAGCTATCTCCTAATAGCTAGGTCTCCTGTGTTTTTCTTTTGTATACTACTTTTTTTAAGCTTTTCTAGTTGTTCAGGGATAGGCAAAGTATGATGATTTTTAATTTCTTAAATTATAAGCAAGAGTCTGTATTAGCAATGTTTAAAAAAAATTTTTTTTTAAAGATTTTACTTATTTGAGGAGGGGATGGCAGGGAGGGGGCGTGGGTTCGGGGAGAAGCAGGCTCTCCACTGAGCAGGGAGCTCGAGCTCAACAGCTATGCAGGGGCTCAATCCCAGGTCCCTGGGATCATGATTGGAGCCAGAGGCAGACACGCAACTGACTGAGCCACCCAGGCACCCCTGTATTAGCATTGTTTTTAGAGAGTTGGAAAGAGTATAAATAAAATGTCTTAATAATTTTAGATGATTGTGCATATGTTTATGTATATACATAATACTACTTAATGTTCTTTGCTATTATAGTTGTATTTACTTGCTGATATTTGGTAAGCTAGTTTGAAGGTCTTAGATATTTTTTATTGCTGTAAGTAATTTTTAAGTATTTAGAAGTTCATTCAGAAATTTGAGTATTTGTCAAAGATAAAATTGGTAAAGATTCTTTCCACTTTATGGTAATATTAAGCATAAGTGCTAGGTTGGTTCTTAGGAAGAGAGTTTTGTTTGTTTGTTTCGCCTAGAGAATAAATTACTTTCTCAATATAATTCTGGAAGTTAAACTAATTTGATTATTCTTAAATTTTTTTTATTCACTTAGTGTTTTCAATACGTGTGGATATGCTTATCCTACTGCCTGGTGGAAGGAATTGTTTTGTGATACGATTTTGGTATTTTGAAAGGAACTCCATTCTAAGAAATGGAGTCAGCTGACTGAAAATATTTTTTAACTTACATTTGAAATTCAAGACCCTTCAGCATTCATGAAGGAAGATAAAATTTAGTTATACTGCTGTGGGCAATCACTTTGGAATCTTTGTGGAATCTTTTGTTTTCCTGATTGACATGCCTTTGTGGCACCAATCTGGTAATTGATAGTGCAAAATGCAAAATTTAAGCACTGTTAGGGCATAGATACTGGACATATGCAAAGAAGGGAACATGTAGAGAAGAAAGAAAGGTGGGTGGATTTAGTCACTGATGTTTGTGATAATTTAGTTGTCTTTTTTGTGCCTATCAGCTAATCAAGGCCTTTAAGAATGCTTAAGAAAAAGTAGTTTATTGAAATAGAAGGACATAACATGGTTTATTATATGCTCTTTCAAACTCTTAATCACTCTTATCTTAGTGAATTTTAACTTACTATTTTATTTTTCTTCCATAGAATCTGTCAGGTGAAGGTGTATTTTTGCTTTTTAATTTGGCTAGAAGCAATTTATTTTTAAAGAAAGTATGTCTCCTCTGAAGATACACGGTCCTATCAGAATTCGAAGTATGCAGACTGGAATTACGAAATGGAAAGAAGGGTCCTTTGAAATTGTGGAAAAAGAGAATAAAGTCAGCCTAGTAGTTCACTACAATACTGGAGGAATTCCAAGGATATTTCAGGTATTACTGTATTTTGATGTGGAATAGATCTTGAATCACACCCTTTAGTGAATACTTTCTCTGTACCATAGTAAGTGTAATGGTAACCCTCCTCCTAGATTAACGTTTCTTCTTATTTCTTGGATACTAAGTTTTGTGTGCATATTTTATGAATTTTTGAATAGCATCGTTGATGGTGTAAAATAAAGAGCAGGAAGTAGTCACCATTATTGAAAAGAAAACAAGGAGGAAGCTGAGAGAACTGAGTTTTCTATCAAGCTATTTTAAAAACTACAATAGGATAACTTTAGTTATTCCTTGTTTTTCCTTAGTATATATAATAGATTCATCACTGTGTAGTATTAGCTTTGAATAGCACTTACTAGTGTCTTCTAAAACTAATGCCTACTTCCTAAATAATCCTGCCAAAGGTTGTGGTATGGACCTTTCAAGGATGATTATTCAAGGTCATTCTTACGGATGTTTTCTTCTAACTATAAACTTTTGAAGAATTTCATAGTTTTATCACTGCAGAAAATAGTTAATTTTATTTTTACTTCTATACTGTTTATTCTGTATAGCTAAGAGCTACTCATCTTGATATGATTTAAGGAAAGCAGTATCATTTTTCTGCACTTTAAAATTCCGTATTTGTTAATTTGATACTACAAAAGTATAATATTCATTCTAAACTGAAGTACTTTCTTGAATAACAATTTATGAAATTTTATGCTTGAGAACCCTAGAGCTAGGGTAAAATTTCCATTTCTCTTTACATTTGAACTGTGAAAATAAATTGCTTAGGATTTTGTGTATCAAAGATAATCTTAAATAGATTGGAGGTGGTGACATGGGAAGTAGAAACAATAGTCGTTTCTGCCACATACATGTATCTACTATTTGGTCATCTCAGTGAAAGAAAGATTCCTTTTCAAATAGAGATTCGGTTTCTCAGTCCTTAGCCCAAAGTAGCAGTCAGTAAATATTTAAATATTTAAGCAAACATAGTTCTTTAGGAGCGTGAGGATTCTGCCTGTGATTCCAGCCTCATCGCAGTTCTAGATCAGTTTCCGTTCAGCATTTATTTTGCTAACCACCTACAGATTACTGTGGTGGGTAGTGTACTAAGGGCTAAGAATACGGAGCTGAACGAGATGCTTTTCTTCTCAAACTTAGGCGTAATCAGAAGGATTTTCAGATGTAAAAATATTTCAGAGACACTGAAGTAATGCAAAGAAGAGAATGGTTTGTGCCTGAGCATTTAGAGGATAAATAGGAGTTTGCCAAACAGTGGAGGTAGGGCAGAGATGATTTCTATCCGTGGATAAACACATGCAAGTGTGAATCAACCCTTAGGGAACCAGAAAATTATTTTAAAATAAATGGACAGTGGGGATTGTATGGCAGAAGTAGAGGCTGAAGAGCTAGATTTGAACCAGATCTTGAAGTATCTTACTAGTCATAATAAGAGGATCTTAGATTCTAAGGAGTCAAGAATCTCAAGTTCACTTTCATTTAGAGGCTAGGCAGATGACCATTTCAAGAGATATTGGAAGAATAGGGACATATAGGAGGTTATTGTGGGAGTTCCCATGAGGAATAAAAGTCCTGATTAAAGGATAAGAAAGCAGGAAGAAACAGGAGGAAGAAAGAATGTATTTGAAGAGATTTCAAGATGACTTGACTCATTAGATTTAGGGAGTGAGAAAGAAAAGACTGGGAAGATTCCCAAATTTCTGAATGGATGGCCATGCCTTTCATGTCTTGGTAGGGAGCAGAGGGAAAGAATTGGGGTGGGAGGATTAAGAGAAATGAGTTGTTTGAGGTGTCAGGCATTCAGATGTTGGTATCTAGTAGGCGTTAGGTAAATAGTACTGGAACTCCAGCAGAGAGGTCTGGACTTAGAGAAAAGATGGAAGGCCTCACCATATGGTAGTTAATAAAACTACAGGCTTCATAGGACTTTCAGTTGTTGAAGACTTCAAATTCAAGATTATTCTCTCATCTTGTTTGTTCATAAACTTTTTCCCTTATATATCTTTCATTTTTAAAAAGTGGTATATTGATCTGAAATAGTTGTTTTATGTGATCTTTTCCTTTCGTATGTTAAATTTCTTGTTTAAGTATTTCAGAGTTAAAGCCATTGAGACTATTGTGCTTTATGATAGAATTTTTACTGAAGGACATGAATTTAAGACCCACTTTGAATATGTATATATCATTTGAAATTTGAATGTAAATTAAGTCTGATAAAATTTTCATTCTTATCTAAAAATTGACAAAGATCAGTTCCAGTTTAAAAAATATAAAATACTATTACTTATTTCTTTATGCTATTCAAGAGGTATGTCTTCAGCAAAAGGCAGCTTTTGAAACCTTTGTATATGCCTGTTGAGGGAGAACATTAGAGAATAAAGATGCCTAGTTGGCAAGAATTATTTAGGTAGTAAACTGCAAGATTTAATTTGGTCTTGGAGAAATTTCAGCCAAAAGAAAATGAAAGTTATTACTTCATAGCACATAGCCAGAATCTGGGAGAGTATAGGACAAATTATCGAGCCAGTTCTAGGGAATGGAAGAAGTGAGCTTAGAGTTCAGAGTGCTCATGATCTTCATGATTGAATGAAAGTTAAATGAGCCTGCTTACACGATTAAAAAAGAAAGAAAGATAGGGGCGCCTGGCTGGCTCAGTGGGTAAAGCATGAGACTCTTGATCTCAAGGTTGTAAGTTTGATTCCCATATTGGGTATAGAGATTACTTAAATATAGTCTTTTTTAAAAAAATACATACATATAGATAGATAGATGATAGAAGAAGATGTCTTTTCACATTGATAAAGGTTTGTTTTGATCTGTTTTTGAGAGGTGGAATTCTTTTGCAGGTTATAGTTTGGATTAATAAATCCTTTTAAATTACAGCTACCTACACCAATTGCCAGATATTTTACAGGTGTTGTGTTTTTTGTTTTGTTTTGTTTTTTAAAGGGGGAAGAAAGAAAAAGCCTCTAACACAATATGGCTTTCTAAACTAGTGCTAGTGTAACCATCTAGGCTCTGTAAATTGTTAACTCACTAGTTTTTTAGTTTTACAACTATGGCTGAAAATACCCAATTCCCTACCATAAAATCAATAGTGCTAGGGTTACTTTGTAAAATAAGTTTTAATAGTAGGTGTTTGCCTTTCCTAAACATGAAATCTTTAAGTGTATCAAGAAATGGGAACTCTTTCTGGTTGGAGGAAAAACCCTAAATTAATACAGGAAAGACTAAGAAATGTAATTTAGAAAATGTATGGCTTATACAACTTACTATACTTTGTTCCTGTACATTTTTTACAATAACAGTTTTCCTTTTCTGTTGATTAGCTAAGTCATAACATTAAAAATGTGGTGCTTCGACCGAGTGGAGCGAAACAAAGCCGCCTAATGTTAACTCTACAGGATAACAGCTTCTTGTCTATTGACAAAGTACCAAGTAAGGATGCAGAGGAAATGAGGTTGTTTCTAGATGCAGTCCATCAAAACAGACTTCATGCGGGTGAGCACTGATCTTCCCAGGGTTTGCTATTAACAGTTACAAAAGAATATTACTAGTTGGTAGATCAGTATCACTGATGAATATTGACACAAAATCCCCAACAAAACACTAGCCATGAATTCAACAGTATATGAAAAGGATTATATACTGGGGCACCTGTGTGGCTCAGTTCAGTTAAGTATCCCACTCTTGGTTTTGGCTCAAGTCATGATCTCAGTGTCATGGGATTAAGTCTCCCTCTCACATCAGGCTCCGAAGTCAGCAAGGAGTCTGCTTGTCCCTCTGCCCCCGTATGCATACTCTCTCTCTCTAAGTGGGATTTATTTCTGGAATGCAAGAATGGTCCGAGATATGAAAAATCAATGTGATGTACCAGATGAGTGAATGAAGGACAAAAGCCATGTGATTCTTTTCATGCAGAAAAAGTATTTGATAAAATTCAAAACCCTTTTTTTTTTTTTTAAAAAAGATTTTACTCACTTGACAGAGAGAGAGATCACAAGTAGACAGAGAGAGGAAGAAGCAGGCTCCCTGCTGAGCAGAGTGTCTGATGCGGGGCTTGATCCCAGGACTCTGAGATCATGACCTGAGCCGAAGGCAGAGGCTTAACCAACCGAGCCACCCAGGTACCCCTCAAAACCCTCTCATGATAAAAACACTCAACCAACCAGGAAAAGAAGGAAACTACCTTAACCTAATAAAGGCCGTATATGAAAAGCCCACAGCTAACATACTCAACAGTGAAAAACTGAAAGATTTTCCTTTAAGATAAGGAACAAGGCAAGGATACCCTCTCCCCTACTATCCAATATAATACTAATACTTGATGACTGAGCCACCTGGGTGCCCCTTAATAGACCTTTTCTTAAGAAATAATGGAGTACTGGGCATCTGACTGGCTCAGATGGTTAAGCATCTACCTTCTGCTCAGGTCCTGATCGCAGAGTCTGGGATCATGTCCTGCATTGGGCTCCCTGCTCAGTGGGGAGCCTCCGTCTCTCTCCCCTATTCCCCCATTTCTGCTTTCTTTCTCTCTGTCAGATAAATAAATCCTTAACAAAAAAAAAAGAAAGAAAGAATTTAGTGCTTCAAATGAGTTTTCCACTATTACTGTTAGTCTCCAGCTCTCTAGCAGAACTTTATTACTAATATTTTAGAGTTGACAGACTTTTAATTGAGCTTTTTAACTTAAATATAATAAAAATACTAGAAAATGAAGAGGTAGCAGTGCTACTTTGCTTGTATTTAATATGTATTTGATACACTACTTTTCCTTATAAAATTTAAAAAAAATTATGGTTGCTTGCCATTTAGTACCAACTCATGTGTTACATGGTTCCTTGGTATCTGTTGTCAGTGTTCATGCCATAAACACATAGTCACTGAATTTTCTGTAGTGTTAATTACCAGGTATTTATATAGGAGAATTTCTAGCATTTTCATTTTGCACTTAAAATTTTATTTTTCTGTTACATCTTCCCAAATTTGTGCATGTTATTTCATTTTTTGCTTGAGAATCTAGCTCTGAATTTTAATTACTGTTTGTATCAGATATACTTTGAGAAAGAATTGGTTGTTAAGCACTTTCATTTTTTATGCTTCTGTTTTTTCAGTATTCTATAATGATGACTAATCTCTTTATTAAAGTAAATGATGTGGGATTATTTATTTATTTCCCCCCTACCAGCCATGAAACCTTCTCAGGGGTCTGGTAGTTTTGGAGCTATTCTGGGCAGCAGAACGTCACAGAAGGAAACCAACAGGCAGCTTTCTTACTCAGACAATCAGGTATGTTCATTTGAATCTTTCTAGCTTTTAGGAAAAGTTATAATTGGGGAGCCTGGGGGTTCAATGGATTAAAGCCTCTGCCTTTGGCTCGAGTCGTGATTCCAGGGTCCTGGGATCGAGCCCCGCATCGGGCTCTCTGCTCAGCAGGGAGTCTGCTTCCTCCTCTCTCTCTGCCTGCCTCTCTGCCTACTTATAATCTCTGTCAAATAAATAAATAAAATTTAAAAAAAAAATAAAAGTTATAATCAACTGTTACTATGATCATCTTTTTTTTTTTTTTTAAAGATTTTATTTGAGAGAGAAAGAGAAAGTGAGAGAGGGATTACAAGCATTGGGAGTGGGAGAGGGAGAAGTAGGCTTCCCACCAAGCAGGGAGCCTGTTGTGGGGCTTAATCCCAGGACCCTGGGATCATGACCTGAGCCGAAGGCAAATGCTTAACGACTGAACCATCCAGGTGCCTCTATTATGAACATCTTTTCAAAATTTATCGCATCCTATCCTTCTTACATGTAGTTTTACTGAACGTATAATTTATGCTCTGTGTCTCATGGTCATCATTATGAACCACAGTAAAGTGTAGTTTTTAAAAAGCATAGTTTTGGAGTTAGATGTGGGTTGGAAATTTGGTGCTGATACTTAGTAGTTGTGGGTCTTTGAAGAAGTTCCTTAAGTATCCTGGCCTTACTCTCCATCTGTAAAATTGGGGCAGCAGTAATATTTTAAGGGTTGCTATGAGATAATGCATGTAAAAGTGCTTATTAGCCTACAGTACCATATACTAACAATGCTATAAATGTTTGCTACTATTATTTCTGTGATGTCCTTTGGGTCTTTTGTGCATTATGAACTTTACCCTTACACTGTATGATATCAGAGTGTTTTATTGAGGTCTTCTGTTTGTTTTTTAAATAGTTTCTCTTTGATAAATATTCAAACAGTCATAAGACTTCCTTTGTACTATTGCAATTTAGCAGACCTATGTCTTTGAAAATTTATTCTGTAGAGAAACCGGGCATAAACTAAGAAAAACTGGAAACCATCCTGTAAGTAAACTGATGAGTTCTATTTGGATGTGCGGAGAGGTGATTACTTAGTTCATTTGCTATGCAATGAATAAGATTTTATTTTTGTTAGTTTTTTAAATATGTTGTGGGGTTTTTTTTTACATTTTAATTGAGGTATAATTGACATGCTCTAAATTGCACATACTTGAAGTGTACAATTTGATACATTTTGACTTATGTGTATACCTGTAAAATCATCACCATAATCAACCAAGAGAACAGAACCATACCCCTTAAAAGTTTTCTCCTCCCTCTTTGTAATTCTTCCTTCCTGCTTTCTCTCTGGCCCCATCCCTAAACCACAACTGGTTTGCTTTCTGTCGTTACAGATTAGTTTGCATTTTCTAGAGTTTCGTATAAATGGAATCATTGTGTAATTTTTTTTGTCTAGGTTTTTCACTCATTGTAATTACTTTGAGATTCATCTATGGGTAGAAATTTGAACTGTTAGAATATTTAAATGTATAGCTGTTATCATATATGACCAGCAAATACTTACACGCTCACAAGTAATGATTTTTATCAGTGGGATTGTAAAGTCAATATTATGGGTCATAACTGGGATTAAATAAAAAAGGAACAGAATAGAAAATCAATTGAGGAGGTATTGTACATAGTAAGGGTAAGTATTGATTTCTGAAACTTTTGGTTATTTATATGTACTTATAGTAGTTGTGATGTAAAATATTTCTACTAAGTAGAGCTCATGGTCAAAAAGATTAAAAAATGCAAAACAGCATACATACAGTATTCTACCACATGTATAACAAAAAGGATAAAATTGCTTTACATTTGCATAAAGAAGAATACTTATAAGGGACAAGAGAATGGGAAAGAATTGAATATATGGCAGTAGATGAAAATGAGACTCCCAGGAAATGGCTTTGATAATAGTATTTTGATTTTTGAATCTTGAGACTGTATCACCCATTTGAAAATAAATTCTAACTTTTTAAAACTGTTCATTCAGGTGATCTCCAAGATTTTTTCTTTTCTATGCTAACATATGTAATTCTGTAGAAAGAAAGAAATTGGAAATTTATTCCATAGACAAATCACATAGCTTTTAATCTAGTTATGAAATTTACTGGCAGAATGCTGGTCAAAAGCACTATTTCCCAACTAATATGTTTAAATTGCTATATTCACTCTGAATGTTCTTGCTGTGTCTTTAAGGTAGATTCTTTGATTCATTATCTGCCAGGGGACTCTCTCTTACATTCATTCTCCCCATCAAAAGTTATATGAGGTATTTATAACTTTGCATTTAAGTTGTGGCAACCAAATGTTATCGTTGCTTCTTTTTCCTACACTATGTTACTTTATCAAAAGCATAATTGGATTTTTTTTCTCTGAAGATTGGTTTTCATCCTCATCACTAGAATCACATAGTGGGTATCTGAGTCTTTTCTTAATAAGTCAGGTATTTAAAGCAAATTCCTTTCTGCCTCTAGTCATATTGTGAAAATTTTAAATTTATAGGCATGCTAGAAGAAAATTAGTGTCAAGTTCAATTTCTGATACAGATTGTACATTACAATCAGTGAGAATGCTTTAAAAAAAAAACTACTTATGAATGGGCTCCACCCCAGGCCAATTAGGCTAGAATGTCTGGAGATGGGTTTTCAGTTTTATTTTTTAAAATTGAGTCCACATGAGAATCAGTGATCTAAAAGCATGCCAATTAATTTGAATATTTAGCTATGTTAAACTTTACTCTTACAGGCGTCTTCAAAAAGAGGAAGTTTGGAAACTAAAGATGATATTCCATTTCGAAAAGTTCTTGGTAATCCAGGTAGAGGATCAATTAAGACTGCGACAGGAAGTGGAATAACTGTCACCCGGACAATTCCCTCTTTGACATCTACATCAACCCCTCTTAGATCAGGGTTATTAGAAAATAGGTATGGAAGACTTACTTTCTTTTTCTTAGTCATTAGCTGTGGCTATTTATAAATGTCTTTTAGGCCTTTTAGAAAGGCAGATACTTTGAGAAAAAGGAGATTGTCTAGTTCATAAAATATGTTAGAAGAAACTATACATTTTATTAAAAATATATATTTTTAGTAGGTAATTAGTAATGGGTTTTTTATGATTTATGTTAGTGATAAATACTGAGCATGCAGATATACAGTATATATCTTTTAAAGATTTTATTTATTCATTTGAGAAAGAGAGAGAGAATGCACAAGTTGGGGAGAGGCAGAGGGAGAGGGAGAAGCAGCAAAGCAAACTCTCTGTTCTGCTGGGAGCCTGACAAGGGGCTCGAGATCATGACCTGAGCTGAAGGCAGACGCTTAACCATCTGAGCCACCCAAGCGCCCCAGATATATGGTATATTAATCAAAATATGGTTTAGAGAACTAAGCAGCAGTAATCACAGTTCCTGTCCTTGAGTATGTTGGTTTATACTTTTTAATGGTATGAATTATGACTTTTTAAAATAACTTTTTCTTTGTCCTCTACAGGACTGAAAAGAGGAAAAGAATGTTATCTGGCTCAGAACTGAATGAAGATTACCCTAAGGAAAATGATTCATCATCGTAAGTTGCTTTAAGAACCCCTATGGCACTAGGGGTGCCTGGGTGGCTCAATCCATTAAGTATCTGCCTTTACCTCAGGTCATGATCTCAGGGTCCTGAGATTCGAACCCTGAGTCAGGGTCCTTGCTCAGCAGGGAGTCTGCTTCTCCCTCTCCCTGTCTGCCCTACGCCCCCTCCCTGTACTGTGCTCTTTCTCTCTCTCAAATAAATAAAATAAAATCCTTAAAAAACAAACAAAAAAACCTTTATGGTGCTAGGTCAGTGTTTCTTATATTGGAAAGTACACTCACTATGGAAAATTGGCGGTGGGGAGAGGGGTTCAGTTTATGAGAATTCTAAAGATAGAATAGAATTTAAAGTATTTGGGGGGCACCTTGGGGACTCAGTTGCTTAAGGGGTCTGCCTTTAGCTCGGGTCATGATTTTGGGGTCCTGGGATGGAGCCCTGCATTGGCCTCCCTGCTCACCAGGGAGTCTGCTGCTTCTCCATCTCCTTCTGCCCCTCCACCCGCCTCATGCTTGCTTACTCTCTCTCTCTCAAATAAATAAAATTAAAAAAAAAAGAATTTAAAGTATTTTGGTGATGGTAGATTACAGGCTTCATAGAGTATTTGGCCATTGCTGTTGCTCTGCTTATTTCATTGCCCTTCTGCCATCCTAGCTTTTTTTAATCTGCAATACTTAGAGGAAGAATAGAATTAAAGAACTCTAAGCAGATTTTTTTTTTTAAATTTTTAAAAATCTTTTAAAGGTTTCTTTATTTGAGAGAATGTACATGAATGAGGGGAGAGCAAAAGGTGTGGGGGAGCAGATTCTCCACTGGGCAGAGAGCCCCATGTGGGGCTCTGTTTCATGACCCTAAAGTCATGACCTGAGCTTAAACCAAGAGTCAGATGCTTAACCGACTGAGCCACCCAGGTGCCCCTGAAACAGATGTTTCTCGTTGGCTGCTCTTCTGTTGTGAATTCTTTCCTTCCCTTTGCGATCCCCCCAACCCATGAAAAGTTAGCCTAGGAGTAAAAGGATGTGAACCCGGGGTGCTTGGGTGGCTCAGTCAGTTAAGGATCCAACTCGTGATTTCAGCTCAGGTCATGATCTCAGGGTTGTGAAATTGAGCCCCATGTCGGGCTCCATACTGGGTGTGAAGCCTGCTTAAGGTTCTCTCTCCTTCCCGCACCATCCCCACACCCCCACTCCCGGCCCATGAGCTTGCTCTCTCTCTTAAAAAAAAAAAAAAAGCGGCGGGGGGTGTGCTGTAAACCAGACATGGGTCCTAGGCGAGGAACATCAATCTTTTAGAGTTATTTTCTGGTTGAACAAAAGAGGATAGACCCACAGCAGGACAGTCACCAACTGGTCTCTTCCTCATCATGAGAGGGTTTGGTTTGGTTTGGTTTTAACTGTTTGGGGGAGAATATTTACTACACTGTTATGAAATACCTCAGTTAATACCTTTTTTTTTAAAGTTTTTATTTAATTTTCAGTCAACATACAGTGTGATACTTATGTGTACAATTTAGTGATTCAGCACTTACATACAACACTCACTACTCATCACAACACATGTTCTCCTTAATCCCCAACCCCTTTTTAACCCATCTTCCCACCCACCTCTCCTCTTGTAACTATCAGTTTGTTCTCTATAGTTAAGAGACTGTAGCCTGTTTTTTGATTTTCCTCTCTTTGTTCTCTAGATTGTTTCTTGAATTACACATATGAGTAAAATCATATGGTATTTATCTCTCTGACTGACTTATTTTGCTTAGATAATACTCTCTGGCTCCATGCACATCATTGCAAATGGTCAATTAGTACCATAACAAAAATCCGCTGATAGTCAAGGAACTGGTATTGTAGGTTAAAGGTCACCAGAAGGAAGTTGGGAAAAAGCCAAGGAAACTTTATGTATTTATGGGAATTTTTGTTCTGCTGCTATAACAGATGTAAAACTGAGTAGGTGATAGGACTGGTGTGACATCTGAAACTACAGTCACCATGGACTCAGATTCCTTCTATCTTACTGATTTATAATTCTTAATAACTAACATCCACTTTGTGAACCAAGATAGCTGCTTCAGCATCCACTTTCATTTCTGCATGCCTGTTGGTGGGAATGGGGAAAGAAACAAAGGCAGGGCATACTGTTTTCCTTTATGCTGGAAATTGTACACACCACTTCAGTGCACATTGGCCAGAATTTGGTCATATGGTTATATCAAATTAGGAGAAACTCTGGAAAATATACCTAGCCTAGCCCAAATTCTGTTATGGCAGAACGGTACAGTTGTTATTTGGGAACAATTGACAGTCTGCTGTAGTTTACCCCTGTGGCCATAGAAATAGATCTGTTAATTGTTCTTCCCATAGGTTTAGTCACTGTATCCAGTTCAGAGTCAGGATCTCTGGGTGATGTGTAGTTCTCTCCATAGGTCTAAATGTGCCTTCAACGATGTGCCTTATGGTCTGTTACCTAAAAAAACCCTAAAAGCCATGTTCATCTGTATTCCCCACTCCCATCTCCATACATATATCATTATACATTGCTGCCATAGGCGTAGGATAACCACAGTAAAAGTTTCCATTTAGAAAAGACAAGAATAGGAAACTTGAATTGCTGTTCTGTAGCAGCAATAAAATCTTGGTAGGCAGAGGTTGTGAAGACAGTGAAAGTAGCAGAGTAAGTTCTTGATTAGTCCTTATAGCAGTCTCTGTTCTATCCTCTGGGAGAAACTCCCTTCCTCATTGTACTTCATTTGACTCCTAATTTTGTCTTCTGGTAGATTTCCTTTGTCTGTTATCTTTCAAGGCCAGAGCTGAAGTGGATCTTGAAGACTGTTCTTCCTTGGGGCCTTGCAGCTTTTGTAGCCTGCTTCATGCTGATATAGTTCTGGGAGTTTGGAAGTATCCAGAAATCTAGGAGTTCTGGAAAGCTAGAAGTTTCTTTAAAGGTAGAGCAAACAGGATTTTATAGGCTTGAGAAAGAATTGGGGCCAAAATTTTTGTTGTTTGGATTTTTTGTTTTAATAAACTCTTAAGTTTTGAAATAATTTGTTTTACAGAAAACATGTGAAGACAATATAGAATGTTGCTGTATACCCTTAGCATGTTTCCCTTAATATTAACATCGAGTTCTTGGTTTTTTTTTCCCCACAAACTACTTCCTCAGTTACCTCCTGTCATTGCCTCAGTTTGAGAATCAGAAGCAATTGGATTTTTTTGATCCCATATGGTCTCAAATTACCACAGTTTCAATTCTGGGCCTTACATTCCTTGATTATAAGGTGGCTAGCCCTTACCTGAATTTATCTGTCTTGAAAAGGACCTTGTTGAAACCACAGACCAGTGTTCTTATTGGTTCACTTTTAGAGCTATAGGTTCAGTAAGTATGTAGTCTGCTTCTCAGGACTGCAGATAGCAGGGTTGTTTGGTTTTTTAAAAATATTTATTAGAGGATATTAGGGAGGGCACATATTGCATGGAGCACTGGGTGTGGTTCAAAAACAATGAATACTGTTACGCGGAAAAGAAATAAAAATAAATAAATAATAAAAATAACAATTTTAAGAAGTGAAAAAAAATATTTATTAGAGTGTGCATGCATGCACGTATGTGAGTTCTGGGAGGGGCAGAGGAAGAGGGGAGAGAGACTCTCAAGCAGACTCCCCGCTGAGTGCAGAGCCTGATATGGGCCTTGATCTCACAACCCTGAGATCATGACCTGAGTTGAAACCAAGAGTCAGACACTTAACCGACTGAGCCACCCAGGGGCCCTTACAGATAACAGTTTTATAAATATTTTGGTGCAATGTAACAGTCCTCATTGCTTTCCAGTATGTAATATCTATGTCCTTACTCTCCACCTTCCTACTGTGGCTAGTGCTATGTAATTCAGGCTTGTTATGGCAGCACCCCCTTCTAATAACAGCATTTGTGGATTCAGGGTCTAGTTGTAGGAAACAAAATTCAGTTATCTAGTTTACACACAAAGGTGTTTGCCTTTAGAGACTATGAAGTGATTTACAGAATCATTAGGAAAGCTGAAAAGATACCCGTGTGTTAAACTTTCAGAATGATTTTGAGAGCTGTGCCCCAGATCAGGTCACCAAAGATGCTGCTGGTTGTCATCAAAGTGAATAGCTGAGTCGGAAACTGTCATCTTGGAGCCATGCTTCCACTACCAAGATGAGAAATCTTTAAGGAGAAATCAGACACCTCCAAAATGATTTTTGCCATCACAGAGAGAACACATGACCTCTGCCTTACTTCCACTTTCCAGCTATTACTCAGTTATATGTAATTATCTTAATTCACATCTTGAACATTTATCTTCTCTTACTTCACATCTTGAACAATAACTAGGAAGCGGAGTGTTTTAGCTTTCTAGGTTTCATGGGACAGATGCACCAAAAGGTAATTGTAATAGCGTGTTGCCTGCCAGTTCACCACATTCACCACACTTTGGGATCACCCCACTTTATCCACTTAGAATTCTGTCCCATGAGCCCTGCATTTCTGATCTTTGTTTTGGGCTAATAACACTTCTCACAATATTACAGTTAGATTTTTTTGAAGTTTGAGTTTCCTAGAAGACTCTAGATTAATATACTTGTACAAGTGACTTGTTAAGAAAGTGCTCATAGGAGAGATCAAAGTGAAGAAAGTAAGACAGGGAAGGAACGGAAGCTGGAAGCCTATGAGGGTGTCTCTCAGGGAGAGTAGGCTTCATCTCGATCCAGCAGGGGGCACTGAGCCTGTTCCAACTTGAAGTAAGGAAGGGGGCTTTCAATGTTCTCATACTGTACGGTCGTTGTTTCTGTGGCTCTGCCCATTGGGCAAAGTATTTTAAGTAGCCCAAAGGCAGTCCTCTAAAGAAGAACTGCAGGTGTGTTGAAACACATAGTCTGGAGGTGTGAACACTATAAAAAGGGGTCCGAAGGGCTCTGATAGAGCATAAGTATTAAGTTCATTCCATGTTATCGCAGATTCTTCACATTGATGCTGCCCAATTTCTGCATGAAAATCCTAAAAAGGGAAGATTAGAGGGATGAGCTATAGTCCTTTTTGTCCTTATTTGTATAGATAGCCTTGAGGTTGTAACCGATGTTATCATCTTTTTCTTCTACCATTTATTCTAGATTTGCTGCATTCTCCATTAATACTTCTGCTGGTCTTGGTGATTTGCCTAGTGATATAACTAAGATCTTCATCCTTGTGGGGATGAGCCCCTGATCACTATGTGCTTGTGCCGGCCATGGTTGCTGAAATTGCCCATTTGTAGTTAAAACTGAATGTGACAAACACTAAGAGATTCCCTAGTAAGTCCCTGTTACTCCGTATTCCTCCTGCCCTCGTTATCTAGCATCAGCCATGCACCTCCTTATAATAATCAAAGTCAGTTACTTCTGATGTATGGCAGTTCCTTTCTTTGCCTGATGCTCTACCAACATGAGGAGCCCAAAATGAGTAGCAGCCATAGCTATAGATTAAATGGGATTCTTACTGTCCCCACAGGTGAAAAAAAGTTCCCCCTCTGGGAACCAGGACCTGATTGTTCGATGTCTCTCTAGTGGAGTTCTCTGATGAGCATTAGTATGTGAAAAAGATCCTCACCCTTTGTACACGTTTCCAATCGCTTCTCGGCCTTTTGGCTAATATGAAGTGTACACATTTCCATATGGCTGTTCATACACCTTTTCCATAATCATTTCTCCCTGATCTTTCAGGCTTGCTACTTGCAGGCCGCTGACTGTCCATGCAGATTTTTCTGTCTATCCATCCTGTATCCAGGAATCCCTATCCAGGAATCCATGGCCCACTCTTTTCTCACACAAAGTGGATAATGAAGTGTACCTCTCAAATTCTGCACACTGGAGGCTTTCCTTTCACCGCTGTCTTTTTGGGCCGCCCCCAATGGGTCTGTAATGCAGCAGCAGTTCATTTTTATCCTCTAGCAAGACAGCAAGATGATGTATCCATGAATTAGGCCAAGTTTTTCTTCTCTTTCAGTTGGTTATAGGGAGTACTTATAAAGCCTGTTCTTGTTTCATATTCCTGCTTACTTAGAACTCATCCCAGATATATCACTTCCATATTAATGCTGCATTACTTTTGTAACTTCCTGGTCTTACGGCTCTTAGGGGATGTTAGCACCCAGTTCATGATGCCTCGCTCTGACTGACGACCTATAGTCAGATTCAGTCTCTTCAGGTCTTAGTCCTATGCCGGGAGTAGTGTTAAGGAGTGTGTACTTTCTTTGCTGGAAACAGCCAGGTCTTGTTCTCAAATCCTAAAGATCTGGGCTGCAACTGTCTTTGGATGAGTGATTCTTCATGGTATTTTGTCTTTAAGTTGGTAGTTGGCTCAACTGAATCTATCATTATAGTTGAGCAGATCAGTACTCATAGCAACACCCAACCAGTTCTGTAGTCTTTATGGTTATTATTCCATATAACATATATCAGTTATCTGTGGCTGTATAACAGACCACTCCAAAACTTAGTGACTTAAAATAGTAATTGTTGGGGCGCATGGGTGGCTCAGTCGTTAGGATTCTGCCTTTGGCTTAGGTCATGATCCCGGGGTCCTGGGATCGAGCCCCGCGCCAGGATCCCTGCTCAGCGGGAGGCCTGCTTCTCCCTCTTCCACTCCCTCTGCTTATGTTCCCTTTCTTGCTGTTTCCCTCGCTCTGTCAAATAAATAAATAAAAACTTTAAAAGAAAATAGTAATAACTATTATTGCCTATGAGTTGATGGAGACTTGAGTGGTTCTGCTTATCAGGGCCAGAATTGGCTGATTGGTGCTGGGTTCTCTCATTTTCTCATGCACATGGTCAGTTGTTGGTTTGGCTAGTCGCTGGTTGGTGCACAATGGCGTTACCCATAAGACTGGCCATTGTCGGCCTATTGGTTGGGTGATGAGGGTGATTGGGCCATGTGTCTTTCAACATGTGGTGCATTTGCCTAGAGCTATTCACATAGCAATGTCAGGGTTCCAAGAGAGTGAATGTAAATTTGCAAGGTGCCTTTAGCCTTACAGTCAGGACTTATACACTGTTATGTCTTTTGGAGTCTTTTGGGGAAAGGAAATCACAAGGTCAGCCCCATGAAGGGATAGGAATATAGACTAGACTGCGTTTCTTGATGGGGGATCTATGGCAAGGAAAGGAATAATTTGGGATGTATCTTTAAATTTTAAAATTTAATATTAATATTTATTTTAATATTTTAAAAATAAAATGTACTTGTTTAAAATGTACAGTTCAGTAATTTTGGGTAAATTTATTGAGTTGTGCAACTGTCACCATAATCCAGTTTTAGAACATTTCTATAACCCCAATAAGATCCGTTGTGTGATCTACCACATTTCTTGAATGCTAGAGATACTGCACGAGCCATATTCTCTTCTCATTTATCCCATCCCAATTCACTACAGATGAAAAATCACAGTAATTGTAAACTATAAGGTCCCAAAGGTGTTATCGCCAGCAGTGAGATTTATTTTGCTATTGCCAAATAAGTAGTCCAATTCCAAAATATTTTCCATAGACGTGTGCTTCCTAGGCCCATTTCTAGAACCAGCTGTTGTAGATCAAATTCTCTAGAAGCAGACCCTGAAATGGAGATTTTATTAAGAAAGTACTCCCAGGGGATACCAGGAAGGGAGTGGGGAAAGCAAGTCAGAATTAAGCCTGAGTGTGTTCTCACACGAAATCAAGCAGAGGTTAATATAACAGAGGTTGATCTATGGGGCGCCTGGGTGGCTCAGTGGGTTAAGCCTCTGCCTTTGGCTCAGGTCATAATCTCAGGGTTCTGGGATCGAGCCCCACATCGGGCCCTCTGCTCAGCAGGGAGCCTGCTTCCCCCTCTCTCTCTGCCTGCCTCTTTGCCTACTGTGATCTCTCTGTGTCAAATAAATAAAATCTTAAAAAAAAAAAAAAAGAGGTTGATCTAATTCCAGAGAGAAAATCTGTTATATAAATTTCACCTTAAAAAAATTTTTTTTTTCACTTTAACTTTTTCTAATCCAAGGCAAGTGAGCTGGGCTCTTTGACCTTACCTGTGATTCTCTCAGAGTGTAGGCAAAGGATCTCTAGTAGCTTGAGGACAATCTGTGAAAAAGAACCCTAAGTACTCGCTGTCAAATACATACCTAAATTGGCATGGAAGAGAGGACACAAAAATGGGGTAAGAGGGAATCTGGGTAGAGTATCTGCATTATGTGCCACAGGCTTTATGCACAATGGTCCTTCTAAAATTAGCACTTTTAATCAAAGCACGAGCACATCTCTGATGGTCCCGTTCCACTTGTGTAGGTTCAGGTATTTGGGAATAATAGATGGGGGAAATGTGACTTAAGAAATTTTTAACTGTATGTGAAATGTAAATATTCTGAAATGATAACTATGTCTTTATACACCTGTGTGTGTGTGTGTGTGTGTGTGTGTGTGTATGTATATATATTGAATTAAATCATTAACTGTAGGAACAACAAGGCTATGACAGATCCTTCCAGAAAGTATTTAACCAGCAGTAGAGAGAAGCAGCTGAGTTTGAAACAGTCAGAAGAGAATAGGACATCAGGTAAGTATTTGGTCTTAATATAAGATCCTCATTTATTATATGATATATTGTTTTAGATTAGAAATAAAAACCTAAACTGAGACATACCTCTCTACATTATTCAGGAGTACTGCTTGATTCAGTACCAGTTATTGGGTGCCAAATTTGTATCCAGTACTTGGCTAAAGTATTAGAAATATAAGGGAATATTTTTTCTTTTGACAAAGAATCTAACCTTTACCTTCTTCCCTATTTAACTGCCTAAAATGAAACTCTTTCATTATCAAAGTACCTGGATCATAGAGTGAATCCAAGGAGTTAAAGGGGCTGAAACTGAATTTTATCAGTGTTGTTGTTACATGTTAGAAGTTCCAGAAGATCTTGGAATTATGGCCTAAAGCAGCTGTTAAGCTCACCTTGTACCCTGTTTTTACAAAAACTAAAAGTTAGACTGTCCACGAATTGATGTCAGTGTTTCCCACATTTAACATATCTCTCTGATCCTCTGAACTCCTTAGAGACTCATCCATGTGGCATTCATTTGAATGTTATATGTCAGCTGGAAATTAAATTGAAGCAAACTAAAATATGGCATGATTTTGAGAGTTTAAGAGAATTCATTTGATTAGGACTCTAGGAACATTCTTCTTTTAGTGGTATAGGATTGTGAGATCTGACTCCTCCAGAAAGAAGGATCTAATATAATTCTTACCTCTGAAATAATAATACATCACGTTAACTCCACTTATGGGTTTTTAGCTTTTATAATCAACCTATAATTAGAAAACAGAATGCTTAAAGATGTAATAAGCCTTAATAATGTTGAAGTTAAGGTATGTCTTTCAAAAGTTGATGTGGAAGAGGAGGGAGAAGGAAGTAAGTGGTCATGTGATAAGAAGGTTCATAGAACCAAATGTAGAAGCTTTAAGTGTGTTAAAGTTACAAAGGTAATTGGTGAAACTAACAAGAGAATAAGGAGAGAAGAGAACAAGAATTGGGTGATGTAAATGAGAAATTCTAATTTTTCATAATGGAGGTAACTGATAACTATTTATAATGAATAAATTAAATAGTAGAAACTACCTATATGAAAGAAATGAGGAAAACTTAAGTTTTAAAAAATGGTTAGAATTTAGAAGCATAATTTGTAGAGTTTTGGGGCAGGAGAGTGTTCTTTGCTGTTAATAACATTTCCAAAGTGTTGATCTTTTAACATGCATCTATATTACTTTGATGAAGAAAAAGGGGGGGAAAGAGTTAAATATGAGGCCTAATGCATAATTTTACGACTAAGTGAATTTGAATGGTTGATTCAGGAATTAAATTTTTCCTTTTTTTTTAAAGGGCTTTTACCTTTACAGTCATCATCCTTTTATGGTAGCAGAACTGGATCCAAGGACTACACCTCTGGTAGCACTAATTTAGACAGGTATGTGTTGGTTATATACTTTGTAAAGAACTTGAAGTGCTCTCTTCTTCAGAATATTGAATTAAGGGGGTAGGCTGTCCATTATGGTCTAAGAGAATACTTTAAAATAACAAAATTGATGAGAATCAGAGACCCATGACATTTTAGTTAGACAGTACTCTGGAAATGTTTTAATTTTCAGATGTTTCTTTTTAAGTTTTTTTTTTTTTTTTTATGTTTATCAACAAATGAATAAACTGTGAGGTCTAGGGAGATTTGTACTGAGGCCATAGGTTGTGACTGGCAAAGTGATCACATTCTAGACCAGTGTATTTTCCATCATGCCAAGCGATGAACATACTAAGATCTCTCCTAAGGCATTTTTGAGCTGCCTTCGTTGCCTGTGTATTTGTTAAGCTACTACCAAAAGTTGAGACATTTTCTTTAAAAAAACAAGTTGTACATATTTTTACAATTAGTATCTTTTACTGAAAAAGGCTGCTCAGAAATTTAACTGCTGATCCTATAGATAAAGTTTAATTTTTTTTTGAGACTTACTGAATATAAATATATAAGACAACTGCTGAGTACTTGTGAAGAAGGTATGATCTTGGAATGTAGTCCAGAGGGGCAGTGGTAAATATAAAAAGGTAAGTGTAATGGTGATGTATAATAGATAGGCTATATAATGACCTATGGATACTTTGTTTTTTAGTAGCATTTCATTCAAAGTAGTTAAAAAAAAAAAAAAACCTCAAATGATTGAGGTGAAGTAAAGAATTTGATACTGTGTTTTTAGGTATATTCAGTCGTGGGTGGTATTTCACTTTATAACTGCACTGGTAACTAAGTTATTTGGATTTAAGAGAAAGATATATATCTGCTTATTAGAAGATTCTTAGTGGTGCCTGGGTGTCTCGTTCAGTTAAGTGGCTGCCTTCCGCTCAGTCATAATCCCAGCATCCTGGGATCAAGCCCCACATAGGGCTCCTTGCATAGCAGAGAGCCTGCTTGCTTCTGTACCTCTGCCTGTGGCTCTCTCTACTTGCGTTCTCTCACTACCTCTCTGTCAAATAAATAAATAAAATCTTTTTAAAAAAATTAAACTAAAAAATAAATAAAAAAACTTAAAGGAATCCAAGTTTTTACAAAAACTAAATTTAGTTTGTAAATAATTAAATGTACAAATTTCCCCTCAAAATAATAGAATTCACTGCACATCAGGTTGGCTAAGGGAAAGAAATTTTTTTTAATGCAAAGCTTTGTTCAAAGATGAAGTGAAAATTTCCAAATCAGTGAGAAAAAACTGATACTGAGTAAAGACTGAAGTCATAGGGCACATGGAAAACAGACTAGAGTCAAGTGTTTAGGAAACCAGCATGAGATAGGGAACTGAACATGACCCCAGGCCAGAATTTGGTTTCTTATATAAAGCTACAAATTCAGAATTGCTCTCTGTGCTAATAAGCCAAGGCAAAACACTTTGGGTTTGGAACCATAAATGTGCTGCCTGCCTAATGTTCCCTAAGCAGAGTGCAAATACACAGAAATGGGAATTTCAGTGACTGGCATTTGTGTTACCTGCATAGGGGCAGGAGTTCTGAATCTCCAAAGTCCCATGCAGCTTAGAGGTCCACACTGTGGCAACTACTAAATAAGTCAGGAGTGCCTGATTGTGGAATGCAACACAGAGAGAAAGTGTTTAGTGTGCAGTGAAATGAGGAGAGTTATGTTGGGCTCCATGGTGTATCCTCCATGTCTTTTTTTTTTTTTTTTTTTTTTTTTTTTTAATTTTTTTTTTTAAAAAAAAAAATGAGCGGGGGGGGGGGGGGGGGGAGGAGAGGGAGAGAGAGACTCTTAAGCAGATTCACCATTGAGCACAGAGCTGGATGTAGGGCTCTATCTGACAACCATGAGATGATGACCTAAGCTGAAACCTAGAGTCAGAGGCTTAGCCAACTAAGCCACCCAGGCACCCCTATCTTTCATGTCTTAATAGCATTTTGGAGAAAATAAGGCCAAGGAATATAAAGACAAGGAATTTGTCAGAGAAACAATGGATGAAAGTGATGAAAGTCCACACAGTGTAAAGCTTTAGCAAATACCAAACAGCAGATACTTCAAAAAAAAAAAAAAAAAAAAAAAAAAAAAAAAAAAATCCACATTGTAGATGAAATTTTAAAAGCTCCTTGAAGGAAAATACATCATTTATAAAGGGAAAGGAGATTGACATTTGCAACAACAGAAACGGAAGACACTGGAGTAATAGCATAAAAGAATTCTATACCCAGCTAAGCTAAAATTCAAGAGTGCAGACAAATAATGCTGTTTTTAGATACAGAGACAGTTTTTCTGCAAGAAGCAAACTGAACAAAGGAAGGAATGAAAATATCAGCAAAAAAATTATAAAAGCATATTTAAATATCTAAATACTTTTAAAATTCTTTTGTATAATTAATAAGTGCATATGGTAGAAACTTTAGAAGTTGCAGGGTACATACAGTGGAAAGTAAATCTCCCTTTCTATTTTAATTCCTAGTTGTTTATTTTTCCAGAGGCAAATACTATTACTAATATCCATTAGGGATTATTTTATACATCTAAATAGTTTGATAGTTTTTATAAAATGAGGATAGGCTTGAAGCAAAAAAATTAATAAAATATTAGACAATAAGGAGAAGTATAGGAGTGGGGTAGAGTGTAGGGCAATTAATACATTTTAAGTTACTTTTGAGAACTCAAGTAACACATATTAAAAAGTTAAAGGTAACTTCCACTTCTGGCCAAGATGGAGTAAGAGGGACCAGATTTGCCCTCCTTCATGAAGCAACTGAGGACCTGGACAAAATGCATGAAATATTACGGGTCTCATGACATTGGACGTGAGGCAATGAAGGACAGTAATCCATGAGAGATGGGAAACAAATGAAATTAGCCTTATGACTGCCCCACGTTGCTTCTTGGAGAAAGTTCCCAGGCTGCCATGTAAGAAGGGGGAACCAAGCAGAGCCCTGTGCTCTTCCTGAGTTGAGGAAATGGAACTAGGAGTCGTGGGAGGCCAAGGCATCTGTAATTCACAGAAGAGAGACGAGAGGGGATAACTGCACAGAGCAAGAATGGCAGAGATCTGCAGAGGGTCCCCCTTGAGTATTTGGTTGACTGCTGATCAGCTTATACAGGTGAGAAAACTAGCCAAGGCCTGGGAAGGAAGCACCCACAGGATCTAAGGGAATAATACTTGAAGTTCACATAAAGCCAGACATCGTTCCTTTTCCTGATAGCAGGAGTTTGCGTGCTAAGAAAGGTCTTGCCTTGTTGGCAAGGAAATCTATCCCTGAACTAATTGCTGCTCTGTTCCCATATAAGAAACCTTAAAAGCAAAGACCCCAAAATAACATACTGTTTCCAGGTAACCTAACCACATCTCAGAGCAGAATTCCAGAATGTTTATAGAAATCAAAAGTATCTAGCACCCAATAAGATAAAATTTTCCATGTTTGACATCCAAGGAAACATACTAGGCAGACAAACAAGCAGAAAAATGCAATTCATATGGAGGAGAAAAATTAATAAATACTCAGAAACGACAAAGGTGATAGAATTAGTACACGGATATTAAGTTACTAATCCAAAAAAAAATTAAGGTTACTAGTCCAAATCAGTCATGACATTAAATATAAATACAAAATGTTCCAGTTAAAGAGAAAGACTGGAGGGGGGGAAAAAAAAAGACTGGATTTTAAAGGAAGAAAAATAATCTATATTCTATTTAAAAGAAACAATTACAATATAAAGATGAAAAAAGATGGAAGCAAATACACCTTGCGGTGTGTAGTAATGCACAGTAAGAGATAAAACTAATAGAAAGCTAATGATAAACTTTAGGGTAAGGGCACCTAGCTGGTTCAGTCAGTAGAGCCTGTGACCCTTAATCTTGGATTTGTGAGTACCAGACCTGCATTGAGTGTAGAGATTACTTACAAATAAAATCTTAAAAAAAGAAAGTCTAGGGAGATTAAAGACTTAAGTAGGAGGAAGATGAGAATTAAAAGTTTTAGGAGAGGGGCTCCTGGGTTGTTCAGTTAAGTGTCTGCCTTTGGCTCAGCTTATGATCCCAAGGTCCTGGAATCAATGCAGGAGCCCTGCATTGGGCTCCCTACCAGCAGGGAGCCTGTTTCTCCCTCTCCCACTCCCTGCTTGTGCTCTCTGTCAAATAAATAAATAAAAATCTTAAAAAACTTCTAGAGGAAAATATTCTGTGACTTTACATTACAGAATTATAAAATTAATTCTTAAGACACAAAAATTGAAACCATAGGTCAGTGGCCAGGCAGCCCAGCTTTGCAAAGAGGCTCTAGTTGCGCTGTGGCTTGCAACCAGGATGCCCAAGAGGGAGGTCAGCTCTGTGGTTGGGGGGGGGGGTGCCAAGGAGGCAGCAGAGGAGGGGAAACCTGCAAAACAAAGCCAGAAAAAGGCAGTAGGAAAGGATAAACCTTCAGACAAAAAAAAAGTTGAAACAAAGGGAGAAAAGGGGAGCAAAGTGAAACAGGCTAAAGTGGCTAACCAGTAAACAAAAGACTTACCTGCAGAAAACAGAAACTGGGGCCTCTGGGTGGCTTATTTAAACATCGCCTTTGGCTCTGGTTGTGAGCCCAGGGTTCTGGGATTGAGCCCTATGTTGGGCTCCCTGCTCAATGGGGGTCCTTCTTCTCCCTCTTTGTAGCTCCCTCTGCTTGGGCGCGCTCTCTCTCTCTCTCTTAAATAAATAATTAAAAGCTTTTTTAAAAAGAAAGAAAATGGAGAAGCTAAAAATGAGGAGCGTCCAGCCTCAGATGAAGCAGGAGAGAAAACCACATGTGATTAATAACCATAAACCATGTCTTATCAGTGGTCCCTTTCTCCCTTCTTGTATAATCTAGAGAAAGATTTTTATCAATTATATTATAAATGCAAGTTTTTTAGTAGCTCTAGAAACATATTTAAGGAGGAAATCCCACCACATCCCATTTTTTTAAGTGTAATTTTTTTGAAGAGGTTAAATCATTTCCTAATTTTTTCTTGGTACAGCCAGAAAGTAGTGGGATATCAAATATGGGAGGCTTTGATTGTCTTGGGTGTCAGCTTAACATTTCCTAGATGGGATACTTTTTCTAACCCATAATACCAAGCATACTAAATGGCAGTTTGGGGTCAGTCATGCGTTTAATAGGTCATGAACATTTTAAATTACTCTTTCCCCATATTTTTGGTAGAATTTTTTCCTAAAGTAAACCACTTCTTGATCCTGGCTCCCCGTGTCAGAATTTTGTACACTCTGTAACATCTTGGTCCTGGCAGTCCAGTTTTCCTAGTAACCTTGTTAATGTCCTGTGCAAGATTGAAAATTTGAGTATGTAGAGTATATGATATTAAATTGCAAATTAGTGGGACTTAACAGTGTAACAGCATGTCACCTTTTGAAGGTATTGGTACTTGGTAAGAAAAATTATCAGGTATTAATTATCATAAATTGGTACTTGATTAAGGAAACTTTGCCTTCAAATTTTAAGCTGGAAGGTCACTGGAAGAAATTTTAGAAAATAATTAACAACTACATGATTTTTTAGATTTTTGGTACATACACTACGAATTGTGTACAAATTGAAATGTCTACTGCTCCTCAGAACAACCAGTAAAAACTGAATTCTAAAAGAAAAAAAAAAACATAAAAGGTTGATTAAAAACTGTGTAAAGGCTTAAAACTTAATGGGCGCCTGGGTGGCTCAGTGGGTTAAGCCGCTGCCTTCGGCTCAGGTCATGATCTCAGGGTCCTGGGATCGAGTCCCACGTCGGGCTCTCTGCTTAGCGGGAAGCCTGCTTCCTCCTCTCTCTCTCTCTGCCTGCCTCTCCGTCTACTTGTGATCTCTCTCTGTCGAATAAATAAAATATTTAAAAAAAAAAAAAAAAAAAAAAGACTTAAAACATATACAGGGCTCCTGCGTGGCTTAGTCGGATAAGCATTGCCTTCAGCTCAGGTTGTGATGCCAGTGTCCTGGGATCAAGCCCCACAGCCTGCTCCCTGCTCAGCAAGGGAGCCTGCTTCTCCCTTTTCCTCCGCCTGCCACTCCCCCTGCTTGCACTCTCTGTCAAATAAATAAAAATCTTAAAAAAAAAAAAACCAAACACCTTTGAACATATAATAGACAAAGGATTAGAATATGAAATACATGGAAAACTACAAATCATTAAGAACCCAATATAAAACTAAGGGTACACAGAAGCAGTTCAGAGAATAACAAACAGTTGTAAAAATACGTTCAACTTCAGCAGTAATCAGGAATATGCAAAATAGAACAACAGTGAGATCAGTTTCACTCATTAATGGAAACCATGTGAAATGGCAGTTCACTGTTAGTGGAAATGAAAATTGGTACAGCGTTTTTGGAAAACAATTACAAGGTCTCAGAAAAGTAAAAATTAAAAATGCTTACTTCTCACATTTTCACTTCTAAGCATATAAACTAAAGGAAGTTCTCCAGGAGATGATGTAAAAGAGTATTTTTGTGTCGTTATTTGTAATAGGAAAAAAAATAACTGCCTAAATGTTTTTAAGACTAGGAAAACTGATGTATCACATCCATTAAGTGAATAAAAGTAAATAGCAAAGTAAAACTATATTATAGTTTTTCTCAAGTCATGAATAATGATAGGTTAAGTAGGTATCGTATCATATGCCTCTTCAGCTGTCTATTGACAGACTTGCTAATTTACACTTGGGGAGTTTTTCCGGAGGTGACCATTATTACTGATATTTCTTCAAGTTTAGAATTTTTTTTTTTTCCCAGATACTGACTTCTCTGAATCTGCTAGGGGAAAAAATAGTGTGCAAAATTGTTTTGCTTATGCACTATCTGTTCTTTTTTATAGGACTAATGTTTCAAGCCAAACTCCCTCTGCCAAAAGAAGTTTGGGATTTCTTCCTCAACCAGCTCCTCTTTCTGTTAAAAAACTGAGGTGTAACCAGGATTACACTGGCTGGAACAAACCAAGAGTGCCCCTTTCCTCTCACCAACAGCAGCAACTGCAGGGGTAGGTAAATTCTTTATAGTTTGCTTTCTTTTTATTAAGTCATTAACTGAAGTATATTCTGCTTGATGTCAAAAAAATGATTAAAGGAGGGGCGCCTGGGTGGCTCAGTGGGTTAAAACCTCTGCCTTCAGCTCAGGTCATGATCTCAGGGTCCCGGGATCGAGCCCCGCATCAGGCTCTCTGCTCAGCAGGTAGCCTTCTTCTTCCTTTCTCTGCCTGCCTCACTGCCTACTTGTAATCTCTGTCTGTCAAATAAATAAATAAAATCTTTTTTTTAAAAAAATGATGAAAGGAGTCATACTAATTATAGTTCTCAAATATGCACTCACTTATCAAAGATTCATCACACCATAAGTAATGATAACTCCATTATCTAGTCTCCAATTTTTGAACTTCGAAAAAAAGTGCTTGTATAGACCATACTAATCATTAAGTAGAAAAGGCGTATTCTCCAATCACATACACTTCGTCATACTCCTAGGATACTTCAACACTATTTTATGTATAACCTCCCCATCCCCTTCATGCTAAAATTTTATTAAATGCATAAAGATGTCATAATTAATAACTAATGATAATAGTAGCAGTCTTACCTGAAGTGTTTGTTATATGACAAATACTGTGTGCTAAGTGTTTAAATAGATTTTTTTCTTTAAATCCTCACAGCCCCACTGTGAGCTAGATGTATCAAAAATCTGCTTTCACAAATGAAGTAACCAAGGCTTAGAAAAGTTAACTTTCTCAAGGTGATACAGTCAGTGATACAGCAGTAGTAAATCTAGTCAGTTGGACTTCACTTGCATTCTTTTTATTTTTTTTAAGATTTTATTTATTTATTTTTAAAGAAAGAAAGAGTGGACATGCATGAGCAGGGGGAGGAGCAGAGGGAAAGGGAAAGAGGGCATCTCAAACAGACTCCACACTGAGTCCAGAGCCTGGCGCAGAGCTTGATTTCATACCCTGAGATCGATTGATCATGACTGAGCCAAAAAAAAAAGCTGAATGTTCAACTGACTGAGCCACCCAGGCTCCCCTCCACTTGCATTCTTAACCACTTTGCTCTATTCTTTCTTCCCTAATTTTATCACTCCACATTAATCATGGGTCATGAGTTTGAGCCCTATTCAGCATAGAGTTTGCTTAAAAATTTTTTTATAATATGTATATATATATATATACACACATACCCGTGTGTGTGTGTGTGTGTGTATTTTTTTTTAAGATTTTATTTATTTATTTGACAGAGAGAGACACAGCAAGAGGGAACAGAAGCTGCGGGGGTGGGAGAGGGAGAAGCAGGCTTCCCATTGAGCAGGGAGCCCAATGCAGGGCTCAGTCCCAGGTGCCCCCTTCTTCATATATTAATACATAACCTTCAACCATGTTAGTACGCATTTAGATTTCCCTTTACAATCCAGGCTAGAATGAACATTCTCATATACATATCTTTTTAAAATTTATTGAAACTTTTCTATAGGATAAATTCTTGGAAGTGTATTTTCGTTTAGATTAAAGGAAGGCACTTTGAAATGTTTTATTACCAAATTGCTCTCCTCAAACTATCAGCTTGTTTTCAGTATTACTCAAATTACTGTTTTTGTACCAGCTTTAAGGTTATCTTTTTACTTGAATGAGTGACATCTTCCAATTTGGCTTATCCATTATAATATATATGCTTAATGTCTTAGCAGATAATAACATAAAATTTGCAGTGAAACTATTTCACTTTATTCTCTGCTTACCTGTTTCTTTTCTCTGAGCTCTTTTTTTTTTTTTAGAGAGACTAAGTGCATGCACATGCAAGCAGTGGGGAGAGGTAGAGAATCATAAGCAGCCTCAAAGCCTGATAGGAGGCTCGATCTCACGACCCTGAGATCATCACCTATGCAGAAATCAAGAGTCAGACGTTTAACCGACTGAGTCACCCAGGCAACACAATAGGCAAGATATTTAAATAAATTGCAGAGAGAAAAACAGTTGTAAAATAATAGCTGAATATGATCAGTACTCCACCTTCAATAATGGATAGAATATGTAAGCAGAAAAATCAATAAGAAAATATAGGATTTCAGCAACACTCTAAATTTCCTAGATCTTATGGATGTATATAGAACACTCCACCCCGCAACAACACAATACACATTCTTCTCAAATGGACATGAAACATTCTCTAGGAGAGACCATATGTTAGGCCACAAAATAAGTTTCAATTTTAAAGGTTTGAAATCATCTAAAGTATCTTTTTGAACCACAATAAAATGAAGCTGGAAATCAGTTACAGATGGAACTGGAAATATGTAGAAATTAAATAACACACTCTTAACCAGTAATGTCAAAGAAGAAATCACAAGGGAAATTTAAAAATATTTAGAGATGAATGAAAGCTCTAGCGGCATGCCAGAATTGATGGGATGCAGCAGAAGCGGTGCTCAGAGGGATATCAGTAGTAGGAAACACCTACATTAAAAAAGAGATGGTGAGGCTGTGAAGAAGATAGAACCCTTGGACATTGCTGGTGGGAATGTAAAATGGTGCAGCTGCTATGGAAAATAGTATAGCAGTTCCTCAAAGAATTAAAAGTAGAATGACCATACAATCCAGCAAGTCTGTTTCTGGGTATGTATCCAAAAGAACTGAGAGCAGTGACTTGAACAGATATTTATATATCCATGTCTCACCTAAAGGTGAAGGCAGCCCAAGTGTCCAGTGCATGAGTAAGTAAACTAAATGTGTTTTATACATGTAAGGGAATACTATTTAGCTTTATTTAACCAGTTTTTTTTAAAAAGATTTCAATTATTTATTTGAAAGAGAGAGAACACAAGCAGGGGAAGCAGCAGAGGCAGAGGGAGAAGCAGGCTTCCTGACCAGCAAGGATCCTGATTCGGGACTCGATCCCAGGAGCCCGGGATCACAACCTAAGCCAAAGGCAGACAATCAACTGACTGAGGCACCGAGGTGCCCACTGTTTAGTTTTAAATAGGAAAGAAATTCTGACACATGGTACAATATGGATGAAACTTAAAGACAGGCTAAGTGAAATAAGCTGGTCACCAAAGGACAAAAACTGTATGATTTCACCTACATGAATTACTTAGAATAGTCAGATTCATGGAGTCAGAAAGTAGAGTGGTGATTGCCAAGGAGAGGGCAATAGGGAATTATTATTAATTGGGTACAGAGTTTCAATTCCAGAAAATGGAACAGTTCTGGAGGTTGATAGTGATGATAGCTGTACAATATTGTGAGTGTACTTGATGGATCTGAAACTGTGTACCTTAAAATAGTGGAGCGCCTGGCTGGCTCATTCAGTAGGGCATGCATGTGACTCGTGATCTCTGGGTCATGAGTTTGAGCCCTATTCAGCATAGAGTTTGCTTAAAAATTTTTTTATAAAAATGGTTAAATGGTAAATTGTATGTGTATTTTATCATGATTTTAAAAAAATGACCTCAAATCAATAACCTAACTTTACACCTTAAGGAAGTAGAACAAGAAGACCAAACTAAACCCAGAAGTTATCAGAAGGAAGATTAGAGAGAAATAAAATAGGGACTAGAAATACAAGAGAAGTACAAAAATCAACAAAGTTGATTCTTTGAAAAGATCAACAAACCTTTATCTAAACTGATAAAAAGAGAATATTCACATAACTAAAATCAGAAACAGAAGTTAGTATATTACCACCAACCTTACCAAAGTAAGAAGGCTTTTAAGACAATACTATGATTTCACCACCAAATTAGATAACTGGATGAAATGGGCAGATTTCTAGAAACAAGGGAAAATTGTGCAGCTCTGAAAAAGAAAGTATAAAAAGTTGAAGAAGGTATATGAACTCAAAGCCAAAATGAGATACCATTTTACACTCACTAAGATGGCTATAATTTTAAAAAAGAAACCTGAAAATAACAAAGTATGTGTTTAATTTAAAAAGTCACTAAAGAGTATACACTATATAGCATTCTATCTTTTGTTTTTTATGAAAAAAAGAAATAATAAAATACATGTTTGCTTATATGTATAAACTTTCAAATATATAAAATGGAATATGTTAAAGTGTAATATTATATTTAATATTTTATGTGTTTGAATTATAATATTTTAATCTGAATTTTGTGTATGACATAAAATATATAGATACTTCACTTTTTATATTTTAAGTTGCTGTGTCCCCAAGTTCACTGGTATTTTCTTCAGTGTTTAATCTGCTGGTAATCTCATTCAATAATATTTTCATCTGTTGTGTTTTCCATCTCTAAAATTAATTTGGGGCTCTTCTTTTGTATCTTCTGTTTCTTTCCTTTAAAGGTTTAATGTTTTCCTTTGTACCTGTCATCACCTGAAGCATATTTATAGTAGCTGTTTTAATATCTGCAGTTGGGTTTGATTATTCTGAGACGTGTGTTTAAGCTCTTTAGTGTCAAATCTAGAGAGGACTTTATTCTAAGACTAATTTAATTCCTTTTCTAAATCATGGCTCCTCTGGGATTTCTAGTAATGTCCTATGAGTTCACCTAAGTCTCTCCACTCTGGTGGGAACTCAAACAATTTTGGGTCCTGCATGAGCTCTGGGAATTATTCTGCTAATAGCTTCCCAGTAATCATTATTTAATTGAAGTTCTTCACTGGTGTCATGGGGTTTTACCGCAAGCATGCACAGGCTGGTATTCAGCCGAATACTCAACAGACTGCGTATTTCTGGAGTTCTTTGTACAGCTCCCTCCTCTCAGATACTCTGTCCCAGAAATCTTAGCAGCCTCAGCCTATCAAACTCCAGTTTCTTTCACCTCAGTACAGCATGATTTCTAGGCTCTGTTTGGGTACCCCTCCCTGGACAGAGTTCACAAATTGCCTGCAGCCAGAAACCCTGCATAATGGATGTACGTACACCATTTGTTTCCCTTCTCTTAAGGATCACAGTCTTGGTGCTGCCTGTTGTTCAGTGTTTTGTCCACTGTTTTTTTTCATTGTCCATGACAGTAGGATAATTCCAGACCCTGATACTTTCTCATAGTCTGAAGTGGAAGTTCTCCAGGGTATTCAAAATTGACATCGCCAGTGATCAGCACAGGAATATCATGTACCTCTGAGTGTGATACCCTTGGAAGGACACAGTATCACTGTGTCACTATGTGCTTTTCCAGCCTGAACTGAATCTCTTCATGAAGAAATAGCAAACCCAACATGAGGAACAGTCTATTAAAAACCAGTGGTGGGGTGGGGGAGGTTGTATTCTTCACAAATGTCAATGTATGTTAGATAAGAGCATATCAGCATTAAATTTTATAAAGCTGCTAACTTTGCTTTGATTATATAAGAGAATCTTCTTGTTCTTGTGAAATACACCGTGAAGTATTTAGGGCTGAAGAGCTGTGATCTATGTAACTTACTTTCATGTGGTTCAGGAGGAATACAGGGAGAGGTGCATTAAATGGTAAAGCGTATAGTACGGAAGATTAACTGTTGGTGAATATGGATAAAGAATATTCTTGTGCAACCTTTTTGAGAGTTTGGGATTTTTTTTTTAAGATTTTATTTATTTATTTGACAGACAGAGATTACAAGTAGGCAGAGAGGCAGGCAGAGAGAGAGGAGGAAGCAGGCTCCCTGCAGAGCAGAGAGCCTGATGCAGGGCTCGATCCCAGGACCCTGGGATCATGACCCAAGCCAAAGGCAGAGGCTTTAACCCACTGAGCCACCTAGGTGCCCCAAGGGAGTATTTTTAAATAAAAGTTTTTTTTAAAAGTTTGCTTTAGAAAAGTGTTTGGCAATACCCATTAAACCTAAACACATATATCCTATGACCCAGCTGTTCTACTTCTGGGGATATACAAAAGAGAAATGAGTTAAGTTAAATTTAAATCTCAGGGAAAAAATTAAAATTATAAACAAGAACAAATATCTCTTTGGATAAGTCCCTAGTTATTTTTAGCATTCATTTGAAAATGTATAATTTTCCTTATTATAATCTTATAATCCAGTGGTTCTCAAAGTATGGTCCCCAGACCAACAGCATCAGTATCAACTGGAGTCCTGTTAGAAATGCACAGTTTTGCACTCTCGCTGTCTAGATCTACAGTTTCTATTTGGGGCCGAGTGATATGTATTTTAACAAGCCCTCCATGTGATTCTGATGTGTGCTGTACTGGAGAACCCCCTACTTTAATGAACATATGTCAGGAACTACTGTAATCTTCAACAGTACTATTTTTTCATTTTCAGCTTCTCCAATTTGGGAAATACCTGCTATATGAATGCTATCTTACAATCTCTTTTTTCACTTCAATCATTTGCAAATGACTTGCTTAAGCAAGGTATCCCATGGAAGAAAATTCCACTCAATGCACTTATCAGGTAATTGTTACATTCTTACTAAGTAACCTTTTACCTTATTGATTATGGAGTAGCAGAGTTATAGACACTGAAAAGTTTTATGTGCCATTGCTAACAGTCTTTAAAATATGCTAACCAAACTTCTGTAAAATAACACCAAACTTGTCTCTTCTTTTAACAGACGCTTTGCACACTTGCTTGTTAAAAAAGATATCTGTAATTCAGAGACCAAAAAAGATTTACTCAAGAAGGTTAAAAATGCCATTTCCGCTACGGCAGAGAGATTCTCTGGTTATATGCAGAATGTGAGTACTAATTGTTTTTAAACATTTTTGAGATAAGGGAAATTGAAATGATACCAGTGTATTATCTAATTTCCATTTTAAAATGAGATTTGTGTACGTGTGTTCATCACAGGTTGAAAGAACTGAGGACTTACGTTAAGGGTTAATAAGACTCTTCTGTGTATTTTATCATATTTGGAAAATACAAATCTCATTTGCCATAATAGGAGCTTAGGCTCTTTTAGCTACAAAGGTTATTTTAGAAAAAAAATACTTTATCTTAAAGGAGTGATTCATTTATTCATTCATGCTAATCCAACTGGTAGTTAAGAATATAAAATCTGTCATTCTTTTTTTTAATGTTTCTTTAAATTCAGTTCAGTTAACATATAGTGTTGTCTTTGTAATAAGACACTATGTGTTGTGTGTGTAATACAACATACAACACTATACAATAATATAGTGCATTCTTAGTTTCAGAGGTAAAATTAGGTGATTCACCAGGTGCAGTGTCATTTAGTCTTATTCACAAAATATGTACCCCCAGATTGTTAGAGTAAATCTGACCTTTTTCACATATGGTACTGACCTCCAAGTGCTTTAGTTGTGTAAGTCACAGTGTTAGCAAGCTGTCACTGTGATAGGAAATGTTTTGATCTTATGATTAAAGATATTGTGCCTTCTTAGGATGCTCATGAATTTTTAAGTCAGTGCTTAGACCAGCTGAAAGAGGACATGGAAAAGTTAAATAAAACTTGGAAGACTGAACCTGTTCCTGGAGAAGAAAATTCGTCAGATATTTCAGCCGCCAGAGTGTACACCTGCCCTGTTATTACTAACTTGGAGTTTGAGGTTCAGCACTCCATCATCTGTAAAGCGTAAGTAGCCTCTAAGAAAACTCTCCGTCCTTTTAATTCTTTATGGCAAGTGATCAAAATTCTTTTAGAAGGTTTTAATTCTTCCTTTCTTTGTCATAAGGCCACATAAATGTATAGATTCTACCAAACATCTCTATAGTCCAGGTTTGGTTGTTTTTTTTTTTTTAAAGGCAAATTTTACTCTTTTTTTTTTAAAAGATTTTATTTATTTATTTGTCAGAGAGAGCAAGAGAGAGAGAGCACGCCCACAAGCAGGCAGAGTGGCAGGCAGAGAAGCAGGTTCCCTGCCAAGCAAGGAGCCGGATGTGGGACTCGATCCTGGGACCCTGGGATCATGACCCGAGCTGAAGGCAGCGGCTTAACTAACTGAGCCACCCAGGCGTCCCAAAATGTCCACATCTTATAAATGTAGTCCACCTCCTAAAAGCCGGAGAGCCCACCAGCAGTTAATAGCTAGTTATTTTTTCCTTTTCTTCTAACATACTTTACCAACAAATTTGTTCAGGTTAGGCAAAGTTTTAATTATTGTTACTTAATTGTGGGGGTGCCAACCACATTTTTTTTTATGGGAAAATTTCAGTGGTCCCTGACAGAAATGGCTACAGGCAGCACAAGAAGCAAGAAGGCCGCATCAAAGTAGTGGCTGCTGTCCTGTGCCAGCGGCATCAGTCAGGCACTCCCCTTACACAGCACCCAGATATTGGGTGGATGTTTGAGGTGTGTGCACTGTGCGTGAAGTGACATAGCACATGGGATGTTAGATACTCCGGGCGGGTAGACTGAGCAGCGGCCCAAGAGTGTGGCGAGTCTGGGTGGCAGCAAGACACTGTGAGGCCACAGCAGCAGTGGTACAACCACCTCCTTAAAGACCTTGCTTTTGTTGCTTCATTAGCAATTTTCTTTAAGACACAAAATAGTTTTTGGCTCTCGGAAGATCGCATACACCTCAGATTGTAATTTCCATTGTTTAGCCTCTGTCCCATCTCACTATAGGTTAGTTTGGACAATTTGCCAAGTGTACTTATTTTTTTAAACTGTTGTAGTTTAAATGGAATGTAGTTTAAATGCTGTAGTTTAAATTGTTTTCAATTACTTTATAAGGTATTTTGGTATGGCAGTATATTATTGAATATGAAGAATTCTCCATTCAAAGAACTTAAATTATCTAAAACTAAGTGGTATTCTCCATAAAACCTTTTGCAGTCTTCCCTAGCTCAGTAATAAATCTCAGTAATAACAGTTCCATACTCAGAGTTTATCAGCCAAAAACGTGGTGTGTTTCTTAACTCTTCTCTTTATCTTGCATCCCTCCATCTCATATGTCAGGAAATCCTTTCAGCTCTTCCTTCAGAGTATATCCCAGGATCTGACCTCTTGTCACCATTCTGATCAAAGCCACCATCATCTCTTGCCTGGATTGTTGGAATACCTTCTAAACTGGTCTCTGTGTTTCTATCCTGTCTCTCTCTTTAGTCTTTTTTGAACACATTAGCCATTTTAAAGTGGAAGTTAGATCATGTTAGCCCTCTCCTCCTTAACCTATAAAAGCTGAATTTCTTACTGTAATATGCAAAATCCTGTATGATCTGTTTTTTAGCAGCTTCTCTTCCCCCAGTTAACTCTAGCTTGATCTCCTGCTACTCTTGGCCTTCCTCATTCTGTTCCTACCAAATTAACTTCCTTTCTTTATTTTTTTTTAATGCCAGATCCTGGTACCTAATGACCTTTTCACTTACTCGTCCCTTTATCTCAGAATCTCTTTCCCCATATTCCCCTCCATATCTTTATGTAAAAGCCATTTGCTCAGCAATGCATTTTCTAGACATTTACCCTATTTAAATTCCAACCGTCTACTCTGATCTTTCACTATTTTTTTCCCTTAGCACTTATCACTATCACTTTAACATACCATACATATTAATTATATGGTTGGGTTTTTTTTTTTTAAGATTTTATTTATTTATTTATTTTGAGAGATACAGATAGTGGGGGTGGGGGTGGGAGCAGGAGCACGGAGGAGACAGAGAAGCAGGCTCCTTGCTGAGCAGGAAGCCCAGCACTGGGCTCCATCCCAGGACCCTGAGATCGTGCCCTGAGCCAAAGGCAGACACAACCATCTGAGCCACCCAGGCACCCCTACTTATATGTTTTTTTACTGTCTTTTCCCTCCAATATAGCTTTGTGCAGTGAGGTATTTTATCTTGAGTTTGTTCATTGCTGTAACCCCAGTGCTACTAGAACAGTTTCTGGCATATAGGAGGCATGTTTACTGATGCCTAAGAAATTGCCCAAATTCATCAGCTCAGAACAGTATTTATTAACTCAGTTCCATAGGTCAGAAGTCTAGGTAGGGTGTGGTCAAGTTCTCTGCTCATGGTGTCAGAAGACTGAAGTCAAGGTATTGCTTATTCTCATCTGGATCCCCCTCCACAGTCATTAAAGTTGTGGGCAGGATTTCGTTCCTTATGATTGTGGTACTGAAGTCCCCATTTTCTTCCCAGCTGTTAGCTGCAACTACTCATTTACAAAAGGCTGTCTGTAGGTTCATGCTCTATGGCTTCCAGAGGCAGTTCACAGCAGTCCTGTTGGTTTTCTTTCAGGTCAGCAGTACCTGTCTGAGTTTGAATCCCTGACTTCCTCTGTTTGAGACCTCTAGACCCAGATTTAAAGAGCTCAAGTGGGGGCGCCTGGGTGGCTCAGTGGGTTAAGCCGCTGCCTTCGGCTCAGGTCATGATCTCAGGGTCCTGGGATCGAGCCCCGCATTGGGCTCTGTGCTCAGCAGGGAGCCTGCTTCCTCCTCTCTCTCTACCTGCCTCTCTGCCTGCTTGTGATCTCTCTCTGTCAAATAAATAAATAAAATCTTTAAAAAATAAATAAATAAATAAATAAAAAATAAAGAGCTCAAGTGATTAAGTCTGACCACTCAGATAATCTCCTTTTTTTTAATCAACTCAAGATTAGTAACATTAATCATATCTGCAAAATCCCTTTGTCTTAAAGCAACTTGATCATGGGAGTAAAAGCTCATCATGGTCACAAGTTCTCTTTAAAGGGGATGGAATTAGGGGCACCTGGGTGGCTCAGTGGGTTAAGCCCCTGCTTTCCACTCAGATCATGATCTCAGGGTCCTGGGATCGAGCCACATGTCAGGCTCTCTGTTCGACGGAGAGACTGCTTCCCCCTCTCTCTCGCCTGCCTCTCTGCCTACTTGAGATCTCTGTCAAAAAATAAATAACATTTGGGGCGCCTGGATGGCTTAGTGGGTTAAAGCCTCTGCCTTCAACTCAGGTCATGATCCCAGGGTCCTGGGATCGAGCCCCGCGTCGGGCTCTCTGCTCAGTGGGGAGCCTGCTTCCCCCTCTCTCTCGGCCTGCCTTTCTGCCTGCTTGTGATCTCTGTCTCTCAGATAAATAAATAAAATCTTTAAAAAAATAAATAAAATAAATAACATTTAAAAATTAAAAAAAAAATTTAAAAAGGGGATGGAATTATACAAAGGATAAGGGTCATCTTAGAATTCTGCCTATCAGATAGAGGCACTCAAATATTTGCTGAATGAAGGATATATTTTTAAGATCTCCAGTCTTCAACTGGGGCAGGAGATTGAATATTACTAAAAATGCTGCTATACAGAGAGAAGGAAAAACATCAACTAAAACTATTTTTAAAAAACAGAATTTGCTTCCAGATAAGTACAGTGTTTTGATCTCTGAGCCATTTTTAAAAATTCTGTAGAAATATATCCAGTGATCAAACAGTTCTACTAATAGAAATTCACCAGAACACCTAGAATTTTTTTTAAAGATTATTTTATTTTAGAGTGCATGCTTGGGGAGGGGCAGAGGGAGAGAGAGAATCTTAAGCAGACTTTGTGCTGATCATGGAGCCTTGACCTCATGACCTGAGATCATGACCTGAGCTGGAACCAAGAGTTGGATGCTTGACCAACTAAGCCACCCAGGCACCCTAAGAACACACAGGATTTTTATTTTATTTTCAGTGCAAAAGGTGTTTCTATTATTAAAGCACGGGTACAGGACCTGTGAGCAGAAAGAGTTGCTGAACACATAGAATTTTAAAGCATTGTTTGTATAATCAAAAACTAGAAACAATGCAAATGTCCATCAGTAGTGTAGATAAATTATGGTGTGCTCAGAGCAGCTTAATGTAAGCCAACAGTGAAGGTGCACTATAGCCACGTGCAGCAAGCATGTTTGAATCTCACAATCATGTTGAACAAAAGATACTAAACATACTGTATGCTTTCATTTATATAAGGTTCAAAAACAGGCAATACTCCCCTGTTGTGTTAGAAGTCTGGATAATAGTTATCTTTTGGGAGAAGGAATAGTGACTGGAAAGGGGCACGTGAGAGGGCTTCTAGGGAGTTTATAACGTTTTATTTCTTGATTTAAGTAAGTGGTGTTAACTGATAATTCGTGAAACTGTACTGATAATTCATGAAACTGTACAACTTTGGTTCACTTTTCTATGTGTATGTCGTACTTCAGTGTTTTTAGCTTTTGGGGCTTTTTAAAAAAAAATTAGCATTCTGATAAAGTACTTAAATACTTGCAAGTCTCACGTGTTGTATATTGCTTATCAACTAAGGATAGTCTTTGTCAGTACCTGCGAAGTTCTCTGCAGGCACAGTGTTTCTGAAGTATATTTGTATTTATTTTGTATTGCACAGTTGGACTTCTAAATGCTTCCATTTGTCTTCTTTTATTCGGACAGATGTGGAGAGATTATTCCCAAGAGAGAACAGTTTAATGACCTCTCCATTGACCTTCCTCGAAGGAAGAAGCCACTCCCTCCTCGTTCAATTCAAGATTCTCTTGATCTTTTCTTTAGGGTAAATAATATCTTTTGGTATCTTCACATACCTAAGTTTTATATAGCATAGGTAATTGTATTTGAAATTGGTTTCTTTAAGACAGAGTTTCAACAAAATTACATGAAGGGAAAAACAAATGAGAAATATTTATAAAATTTAATTTTAAGAGCTTGATAAATCTAATTGTTAACTCATCGAAGAAGACTGTTGATTGGCTAAGTAGAATATACATGAATTCAATAGCAGGTGTTTTAGACAACCTTAGAAGCAGTTATTTGTAAACAAATATTAACTTGAAGCATGTGCTAAAATTTGGTAGTGTTGGTAAAAATTAGAGATGCTATATGAGTTTGTATCTAAGATCTGAGGAATGAAAAAATACTCTTTTCTTTTCCTTAGGTTGTATGTAACCTGTTAGAAACAAAAGGGAAAAGTCATGTTTAGTCAAAACTGTAGATAAATATGTTTCTGTGATGCACTGTCACAGATACTCAGCAAGTTTTGGGGGCATAATTGGACCTGTTGTGTAGCAGTCCTTTATAACCGAGGAAATTTGCCAGGATCACCCTTTGTCTCTTTAACAGTGGGTCTTGTTTTGTTGTAGCAAATAGGCAGGGTTGTCTTCCTGAGGTTTAAAAAAAAAATTCTGTTCTTTAAATGATGAACATTCAGCTCCACCCAAAGATAAATACTCTGCTTTTCTTTTTGTTTTATCATTCCTTACTATTCCTGTTATTATCATAGAATTTGAAGCTTTTCCTGTGTATCTTTACCCCCATTTTTTAAGGATTTCTTGTTTCAGTTTTCTCTAGGTAATGATATCCACCCCAAACTTTGGTCCTTTTAGAACAGTTCTTAGTGGGCTGTCACCAGAAGATTGAGTTCCATTATAAGAAAGGGGTAGAGTTACACCTAACAGACCAGGAACTCCGCCTAACCCAAAGGTGATCTTATCTCTGCTATGGCCAAATGTTACAATCTGGATATACTCTTGGCAGTGGTTCTTGTGCATCCATGGGGAAAAGGTTGAGAATCTGCTACTGTAGAGTCTAGTTGCTGTCATAAATTGAGATGTTTCCATGGTAAAAAAGGAAATTAGGAATTCTGAAATAGGGCATGATATTATATCTGTTTTGAGGATTAGGTCAATTTAGTAAGGCTTGTGACTCTAGACACAAAATTTAAACTGGTTGGAGTTGTCATTGCACTAAACTAGTTGACTAGAAAAGAGTGTTAGCATATAATGGGGTAGTGCTGATTCAACTTCATGCTTCTTTATTTTTCCCTCTTGTCTCTTTACAGGCAGAAGAACTTGAGTATTCCTGTGAGAAGTGTGGTGGGAAGTGTGCTCTTGTCAGGCACAAATTTAACAGGCTACCCAGGTAAAATGAATTGCTCTTCAGTTTTTCTTCTTTAAAGTACTCACAGATATTACTTGTTAGTGGCTCACTAGAATGGATTGGGAAAGCAAAGCTGAGGTAGGAGAAGGTAGAAGATGGAAGGTTAGGGTGCTCTTGTGTAAGAAAGGAAGACGATTTGGAATGCTGAACAAGGGAAGTCACTTGAGATTCCTTGAAAGATGGCAGTAAGGACATAGCTGGTGAGACTTTGGAACAATGGTAGGGACTAGGTAGTAGATTTTTAATTTGGTAATGTATGACATCCAGTTATAATTTGCAGTGTGATTATGTGCTAGCCTCCTCTTCTCCGAAACCTGCAGTAAAAATCTTCCACAAATACATACGTGTGTGTGCATGAAAATAAAACAAGAAGAGTAGTTTTCTGCAGAGGTTTGTGGGTTTTTGTTTTTTTTTTTTATTCCTTTATTCAAAGCATCTTGTAAGTTAGTAAGTTTCCTATAATCAAAACAATTCAGAATTAGAAATGAAATTAACTTACATTAGCTCTGTGTAAACATACATAAAACCAAACTAGTTAGATAAAATATGATGTGATTATAGTGCAGCTTCTAGTTCTTTCCAAGAATAGATCTCAACCACAAACAAGGTTGTTATTATTAAGTATTTATGTGGCACTTTGCCTGCAAAGTGCTTTACTTTCTTTTATTAGCTTCACTTTTCTGTAAGTGTAGAGTTTCTGGAACCTAGCCCCTAGAGACTAGTTCTTTTACATTCCATTATCTCTTTTCTAGAAAATGAATTTCTTTTAAAGAAATGACTTTCTAAATCATAGCAGTATTATATTGACCATTTCCTACTCGAGAGACTTATTCTTTCCTATTGGTGAGTGTTTTTGAGGCAGGAGGTGGAGGAGACAAACCTTAAGGCAAAGGATTGATTGTTACCAGCTGTCATTAACTAAGGGAAGCATGTACAATTTGAAATACTTGTTTGACCTGGCAAGCTGAATGTCTGATCCTTTTTCTAGTGTCTAGCTATTTGTTCTTTTAGTGAGAAAAAAAAAATAACCAAGGGAAATTTTTTCCCTTGGTTTTCCTTTTTTTCTGGTAGGTCGCTTGTGTTACAGGTCTACTTATTCTGAACTTTAGAAGCCTTTGTATCATAAATCCTGATTGTCAGACTTTTGCATTTCAGTATTAAAGCCAGTTTACTTTTATTCTTGAAGGGCCGGGTATCTTTATCAAATATGTTCAGTTTTAGTCCACCTCATCTTTGTAGAAAAGTGATTTTGACTATCATCTGTCTGTTTTATATTACCTTTTATTTTGGTAGGATTATTTGGACATTTAGTGGAAATATTTGACATTAGTTTTAATCTCTTTATACCATTTAGATCCTTGTGTTCTCTCAAGTTGTGAATTTGAAGATTATGAGTTCTAACATACTTTCTAAAGAAAAACATAGTAACTTTAATTTACAATTTTTTTAGTTTATGGCTTCTGTGATAAAGATACATACGGTAAGAAAGGAAACCGTTCTCCATAAAGCAGACATTATTTTGCCTAGAATTGAGGTTTATTCCCATAAGAGTTCTGAAATTCAAATTTTAAAGTGTTCTTGTGGGCTATGAAATATATTTAGTCCATCAAGCAGAGATTATGGTCTGTATCAGAGGTGAAAAGGTTGGCACAATAGTAACTAAAAAGAAGTGTTTCTACAGAGCTAAAAGCCTTTTCAGACCCGCAACCCAGATTTGGCATGTAAATTTTGGAGAACTTTTTGTAAGTTGAGAAAACTTTCCTATTTCTTTCTTAGCTTTTTTCCAGAGAAAGTGCTACACATTGAAATAAGAGCAGCTCTTGTCAAGAGTGCCTGGGTTACTCACTTAAGTGTTTGACTTTTGATCTCAGCTCAGGTCTTAATTATGGGGTCATGAGTTCAAGCCCTGTGTTGGGCTCCATGCTGGGCATGGAGCCTACTTTAAAAAAAAACAGTTCTTGTTAAAAATCATCGTGAAAAATTTAATGTTTACCGTCAAACATAAGGGCTATTTAACACTTTTAGATTACCATTAATTGTTATATAATGCCTATTTTTTGTAAACTATGTAACATTAAAGTAAATAATTTAAGGATTTAACCCAATACCAACATTTTAGTAATTTAAAAATATATTTTTTTAGGATTTATCTATTTATTTTAGAGAGGGAATCGGGGAGGGGCTCAGAGGGAGAGAGAAACTATACAGACTCCATGCTGAGTGTGGAGCCCAACTTGGGAGCTCAGTCTCATGACTCTGAGATCATGACCTGAGCCAAAGCTGAGAGTCTGATACTCAACCAACTTCGTCACCCAGGTGCCCCCCAATACCAACATTTTAAAATACAATGTGTTTTATTTGGTGGTTTTTTTCTTTTTTTTCTGTGAGCATTGTAAATATTTTACCCAGACCTCATTTATCCACCCAGTGCCCATGTTTTATTTTTATTTATATTCTTAGTACCTAGCATAATGCCTGGCACGTGGCAGCTATTCAGTAAACGTTCTTTGAAGGATCTTTAGCCAAAACTATTCTTTAAGTCAAGAACTGTCTAACATGGTTAGTTACTGGTAAGAGAGCTAGCTTTTTTATGTGTGAACTAGTTGTGTCATCTCCTGTTTTTCAGGATCCTCATTCTGCATTTGAAACGATATAGCTTCAATGTTACTCTCTCACTTAACAACAAGATTGGGCAGCAAGTCATCATCCCAAGATACCTGACCCTATCCTCTCATTGCACTGAAAATACAAAACCACCCTTCACCCTTGGTTGGAGTGCACATATGGCAATGTAAGTCCTTGAGAGAGAATTTCTTTACCATTCCTTTTGAAGTAGAAGGGCTTTAGTATCTGATCAAAACAATGACTGAACTAGATAACACGACTCTCAGGTAAAATCGGACCAAGAAGGAGATGTTAATTTTGCTTTATTTTGGGATTTTGTGTCAAATTGCCTAATGGAAGTAATTAAATAAAATGCTTAAAGTTTTTCTGAGTACATTAATTGCCTTTCATAATAAGTTAACCTTTTTAGAGAGTGCTCTTAATCTTTTAGATCACTAGAAGACAAGTTTGGTACATTTGGGGAATATAAATCAAATTTGCTTGTTCATAAGAGTCACTGAACACTAAAAAATACTAATTCTTGTGTTCTTTCCTAATAGTTCTGTTTTAGTAGATCTGAGATAGGTCTTGAAAATAAGTATTTTTTAAAATGCCTTTGCTGACTCTTTGGGATATGCAAGTTTGAGAAATGGTGTACTAAATTTGATTTAGTGCCCCCCAGATTGATTGTATTTTCATAAATGTATTATCACCAGTGTGAATGAAGAACTTCTGCGGTTCCTAGAAATTTTTCTGTGATAAAAGAAATAACCTTTACTTTTGATTTTGCGTCCTCATGTGTGCTGGGAAGACCTTAGGACTTCTCTGAACATGGCTCTTTCTTGCATTACTCTTGTTGCATTACTTAGGAGCCATGTATTGTGGTTCTTTTTTATACTTGAACTCTAATTTGGAAGAATCACAAAGTTCTCCAACTTTAGAAGTGAAAAGGATCTTAGAGATTTTGTCTAAATTTTTAGCTTTACAGAGAAGATCCAAGGAGAGTAAGTGATTTTCTTAAGGTCACGATGCAGTTAGTAACTGGAAGAGCCAGGTCTCTTGGCTAACGTAGAATAAATAGACCTTTCAGAAGGTGAATGTATTTGCTAACGATAATTGATTCAGTTTTATAAAATGTATTTTCCTTGGATTAATAATTGAAATATATGCTACATTGTGTAAGTTTACACTGAAGGACTCTTACTAATAAAGATATTTTCCCAGAGTCTTGAGTGTTTCTGGGTTTTCTCTTACGGGCTTTCATCAGAATAGATGTTTTTGCTTAATGCAAACTGCCCTCTGCTGGTAGAACTGTTACTCTTTGTGGCCCTCAGTGTGGGTGATTTATGATCACAGGCCTGAGACCAGGCTCTGTGATTCCACAGTGGAATGGCTTGAATACTTTGGACAAGTTCTTTGACCTGTGTATGGGGAAATAATAGGATGGTGTGAACATTAAGTGAGGTAGTACACATGAGCTCTTACTCCAGTGTCTGAGAGCCAGTAAGTCCTCAATAAATGAGAGCTATTATTATTTTATTGCTTAAAAGTAAAGAACTGAGGCAAGATAATTTTTCCCAAGTTGTTCTTTCATATGCATTACCTTTGACTTCATTTCCAATGCTGTTTTTTTAGATCATTGGATCAGGAAGAGCCTACAGATGGTGATTTGTTTTGTCTTTTGGCCTCTATTGCTAGTAGAAGTATTATAATTATTTGCTTTTCAAAAGGATATATAAGGAGCTATAGTATAGAATAATTCAGTTTATAAGTTAAATATATTTTTTAATAATGTAATTATATACATTATATATTTTCTAATTTTCTGATAGTTCTAGACCATTGAAAGCCTCTCAAATGGTGAATTCCTGCATCACCAGCCCTTCTACACCTTCAAAGTGAGTTATATTTCTTGTGTACCCAAAATTTGTATTTTTAAGGATTTGGCTTACCCTAATTTCCAAGATTATCCCCTCCCCTTTTCTTTGTTTTTCTTTGCATGATAACTGCTCTGTATTACTATACTTTGTAATTTTCCTGAATCTGCTTTGAAGTATAACCTAGGATATAACAAATCTTTAACAGAATGAAGCACATTCAGATGATCTTCTCAAAATTTTGTTTTTAAACTTCTTAAATCATCTGTTAATCCGTTATATTTTCAACCTACAACTATAGAAATTGGCTGATGACAAGGGATTTTAAGGCCTGAAGGGATAGATAACCACTGTTGGTATAAAGCACTGTTCCTCAAAGCTACACATGGGGTTCCCAAAATATCTTTTCACCTGTTGCTAGCCAGTCTGGGACTTCCTATCTTAGACACTGAACTGGAGCAATTCTGAAAGGCAACAAGGAAACAAACACACGGTGAAATGTAGCTATTCCGATGTTCTATATTTTTTACTTAAGATGGAAAAATTTGTCCAAGAAGGGAAGCAGATACTTTAAAAAAAAAAAATACAGCTCCTCTATGATTTAACTAGAACCACAGTTCCTGATTAAACAGTTCTAAATGACTTGGTTGTCATTTATCTTTAAAATTCATTTTTCTGAAAATTTGATGTCCCAAAGTACTTTTAGAAAAGAGACACTTCTGTTGTTTAAGGGCTTTGGGGGGCTTATATAACCATAAAATGATATTTGGGAACTGCTATTTTCTTTTCCTCCTGTTAATTATTTTTCAGTGCAATTAAAACCAGATGACTAACATGACTAGAAATCTGAAATGGTACCGATATGAATACTCTTGCCCGTTCTCAAGATACAAATGAGCAATACCACTTGGCTGCTTAGAAAGTGAGCAAGTGATGCATTTACAGGATGAATATTTTTCCTTACTACAGGCAAGCTGCCTTCTGTGAATATAGTAATTATTAATGGAATGCACTCTTTATGTACCAAATCACTATAGTTTCAAGAAGGAGAGGGTTTCATTGGGCATCATTATATTTGGCATGGTCATCTGTTCTCCAGGGTCTACTGGTATGAGAATTTGAGAGTTGGTCAATAAAGGATAATTAGGCCCTCGAAGACCTGTCATGCCGATCAAACTTAAAAGAGGCTGAGTTACGAACAAGAATACCGTTGGTTCTTCTGCAATGTCCTTTGTCACATTTGACCCTGGTATGTTTGTAGCCAGGTGTCACCGTCCTTCAGCAAAGTGTTTACATGGGTAAACAAATTAATACATTCAGCTTTGCTTGGTGAGCATGAAATCAGAAATGAGGAATTAAGATGGCTAATTGGCTATTTCTAAGTTATACTGAAAACCCTTTTGAGCACATAATGGGAGGCTATTTAAGTGTATAGGCTGGAGTGCAGTGATAACCTGGGTGCTCTCAGCCACAGACTATGTTTGGGTTTATCACTGACCACTTGCCTCTTTTCTTTGATCTACATTGCTATGCAATCCTCCTGGTTTCCATTGTGGCCTCTTATTTCTTGGTGCCATCATTCTATATGTTTATTTACAGTTTTTACATTTAGATTAATTGCATTTTTCCAATTGCCATTTTAGTGGTTTTTTTTTTAGTATAGTATATGAATTTATGTTAACCTCCATCGAAGAAGTTCGTGCTCTTTGACCTTTACCACTTTTTCTTTTGGTTTATTTTCAGCTCACTTAGAAGACAATGCAGTAACACCTTACTTATCTGGTATCACTGAAGAATGATATTTGATATTCCACATACAAATTTTTACATAGCTTAATATTGCTTTTTTAAGCATTAATCTCTAAGATGCTTAGCCATTTTAGATGGTTATATACTCTGTAACCTTACAGAATTCCTTCTATTCCTAAATAAAACACTGAAGATAATTTAAATATATTTTAATGACTTAGAATCAGCATTATGAGTGTCACTTACTGCCCTGTGTTTTAATATGGTAATGCCCTCAGAGGCTTTTAATTCTTATAAAACAGTTTATATTAAATGACTTCATAGTTCTTTATTGCCCTTTTTGTGGTTATTCTCTCTCATTTCCTAGCTCTCATTTCTTGATGAACTTGCTATGTTATTTTACACCATTTCCTGGGAAAGAAAGGGTCCCTGTCTAAAGAGTAAAGTACATTGGCTTTGAAACTACTGCTTTTCTCAGAAGCCTTTTTTCTTACTTTTGAATCCCTGTGTTCTGGAAGGTAGAGGTTGCCAGAAGTCTGACCTACATATAATTGGATAAGTGGAATGTTACTGTTAATTTTAAAATACATGGATCATAACTTAAAAGATCAAAAATTAGCCCTCATGCACAGTGTTGTCAAAAACATTTTTTCATTGCTATGTCTGCATGCATTCAGTGGAGAACTTGCTTTATAAAAACAAAAACTTTGGGGTTGATCATTAAAAGAAAAAAGGCACAAAGTGATTGGTTTACAGATGGATTTTATTATAGCATAACAATTGTCAAATTTTCAAAGCATGGCTGTTTTGGAGTGGGGCAAAGGTAATGCTTAAATATACCACTTTCGCTATATCTTTTTTTCTCTGTAAATCATTTTCCATAATGGAAAAGTTTTTTATTTTGGTATTTACACATCAAGGGAATAACAAGGACAAATGTTAATTTATCAGACTCATAGAGGTTTTTTTTTCTTAAATTACAGGAATTTTCCCTTCAAATCCAAGAGCTCCTTGGCTTTATGCCTTGATTCAGACAGTGAGGATGAGCTGAAGCGCTCTGTGGCCCTTAGCCAGAGAATCTGTGAAATGTCAGGCTGTGAACAGCAGCCGGAAGACCTGGAAAAAGTAAGTAATTTCTCATCAAAATACTTGACAAATATTTGTATAGCTCTTACTGTCCAAACAAATGCCTTTATAACGAGCATTGGCAAACTTTTTTTTAAGCAAACTTAATAAAATAGCGTAGATCATAAATTCATAAACTGAATGGGTCTGTTGAAACACTAGTTTGAAAGAGTATACTTTCTGTAACTACAAAACCAGTCTGTTTAAAATATGGACTGGGACAGGGTGTCTGGGTGGCTTAGTCGTAAAGCATCTGCCTTTGGCTCAGGTCATGATCCCAGAGTCCTGGGATCCAGCCCCGCATCAGGCTCCCTGCTCAGCATGGATCCTGCTTCTCCCTCTTCCACTCCCCCTGCTTGTGTTCCCTCTCTTGCTATGTTTCTGTTAAAAAAATAAAATCTTTAAAAAAAATAAAAATGGATTGGGACTTTTTTTATTGAGGTGTAATTGACATTTTAGTTTCAGGTGTACAGCATATTGATTCAGTATTTATATGTTTTGCAATAGGATTACCTCAGTAAGTCTAGTTAACATCCATTACCATACATAGTTAGCAAAAAAAAATTCTTTTCTTGTGGAAAGGACTTCTAAGATCTGTTCTCTTAAGCAACTTTCAAATCTGCAATAAAATATTAACAGTAGTCTAATTCTGTACATTACATCCTCATCATCCTCATGACTTATTTATAACTGGAAGTTGGCCTGTTTTACCCATTTGTCTGTCTGTCTCTGTCTCTCTCTCTCTCTCTCTCTCTCTCACACACACACACACACACACACACACACACACACACACACACAGGCTTCCACCCCTAACTACCAGTAGTCTGTTCTCTACATCTGTGAGCTTGGTGGGGTTTGGTTTTGTTTTGTTTTGTTTTGTTTTGTTAGACTCCACATGTAAGCAAGATTATATGGTATTTGTCTTTTTCTTTCTGACTTATTTCACTTAGCTTAATACCTTCAAGGTCCATCCATTTTGTTGCAAATGGCAGTGTTCTGTTTTTTTTGTGGCAGAATAGTATCCTATTGTATATGTATACCACATTTTTATTTATCCATTGATGGACACTTGGGTTGTTTCTGTGATTGATACTTTAGCAGTGACAGGTAAATTGCTTTCTCCTGTTAATCTTCAGAGCTACTTTTTCGTGTGGGTCCTGAAGTAATCATTTGCTTTATTTAATACTAATTGTTAATATATGGGGGACTGTATCAAAAGAAATGAAATCTTGCCATTTGTGACGACGTGGATGGAACTAGAGGGTATCGTGCTTAGCGAAATAAGTCAATCGGAGAAAGACAACTATCATATGATCTCCCTGATATGAGGGAGAGGAGATGCAACATGGGGGGTTAAGGGGGTAGGAGAAGAGTAAATGAAACAAGATGGGATTGGGAGGGAGACAAACCATAAGTGACTCTTAATCTCACAAAACAAACTGAGGGTTGATGGGGGAGGGGGGTTGGGAGAGGGGGGGTGTGGTTATGGACATTGGGGAGGGTATGTGCTATGGTGAGTGCTGTGAAGTGTGTAAACCTGGCGATTCACAAACCTGTACCCCTGGGGATAAAAATATATGTTTATAAAAAATAATAAAAAAAATATATGGGGGACTGTAGTAAATGTTTTACATCAACAGTCAAGCAGGTAATGTAGAGGTTTAAATAATGTGAGAAGGCATAACTTCATCATTTTCTATCTTGACGTATAATGATAGTTAATACTTTGAAGATACAAGCTTCCCTAGGAGTTTGCATCATTTCATGTGACTGATTATAAATCTCCCTTTTATTAAGATAACAATTTAGTAAATTTTTATTGGCTTGTTTCCCATCTTATTTCAAAGCTGAAGATAGTTTTTGGCTGTTCACCTTGAGTGAGAAATGGTAGAAAGTCAGAAGTACTCCCAGAAACGAGAGAAAGTTCGTCAGAAAATAACTTCTGAATATTTATATAATATTGATGTTTTTATTTTTCTCATTTGGAAAAAAGAAAAACATGGTGACTCAGCATTTAAATAGAAATATTAGGGAAAAAATATTAGGTGTACAGTCAGAATGGCTAAAGTTAACAACTCAGGAAAGAAGAGATGTTGGTGAGGATGTGGTGAAAGGGGAACCCTTTTACACTGTTGGTGGGAATGCAGACTGGTGCAACCATTCTGGAAAACATTATGGAGGTCCCTCAAAAACGTTAAAAATAGAACTACCCTGTGACCCAACAATTATGCTACTATTTATCCAAAGGATTCAAACATAGTGATCTGAAGGGGCACATGCACCCCAATGTTTATAGCAGCAGTGTCCACAATAGCCAAACTATGGAAAGTGCCCAGATGCCCATCAACGGATGAATGGGTAAAGAAAATGTGGTATATACATACAATGGAATATTACTCAGCCATCAAAAGAGTGAAATCTTGCAATTCGTAACAATGTGGATAGAAATAGAGGGTATCTTGCTAAGTGAAAGAAGTCAGTCAGAGAAAGACATACCATATGATTTCACTCGTATGGTGAAATTTAAGAAACAAAACAGATGAACATAAGGAAAGGCAAGGAAAATAAAATAATAAAAACAGGGAGCAAACTGCTAGAGACTCTTGATGATAGGAAACAAACAGGGTTGCTGGAGGAGAGATGAATGGGGGAATGGGGTAATTGGACATTAAGGAGAGCCCTTGATGTTACAAACACGGGGTGTTATATGCAACTGATGAATCACTAAATTCTACCCCCGAATCTAATAATACACTGTATGTTAACTAAATCGAATTTAAGTAAAAAATTTAAAAATATAAAATAATTTTTAGAAACAGAAAAATACTAGGTGTGGTGACAGTGTCCATAGTGTGACCCACATACATCTGGAAGAAAATACACCAAAAATACTTACTGTAATTATCTCTGAGTGATGGATTTTGAGTGAATTTATTTTATTTTTTATGTATTTCCCAAATCCTTTACTTAACACTTACTGTAATCAGTAGAATAAACATGTGTCCCTATATATTTATTAGAAGAAAATTAGGCTTGCCAGTGAGTTCATATATTGGCTATTGATTGTCAACTCAAAACATCAAAGAGAGGAAACATTTTAGAAATAAATGTTAGAAATAAATAAACTCACTTTAAACTCTAAGATTGCTGTACTCTCAGACAATCAGGTTTCCTCTAAAAGTGACTCTCTTTTTCAGGATTCAAGATCATGTAGGGTAGATCCTGATAAGTCTGAATTGGAAAACTCCGGATTTGACGGAATGAGCGAAGAAGAGCTTCTAGCAGCTGTGTTAGAGATGAGTAAGAGAGAAGCTTCACCAACTCTGAGTCATGAAGATGATGATAAACCAACCAGCAGCCCAGATACCGGATTTGCAGAAGATGATATTCAAGAAATGCCTGAAAATCAAGACCCTGTGGAGACTGAGAAGCCGAAAACAGTCACAGAGCCTGGTAGGTTTAATGAAAATAAACATCTGTTAAGGCACAACTGTGTTCTGAAGCCTTATAGGGACAAGTGGCTTGTAAATAATGGGAGGTAATATGGATCCGGGTAATAGAACTAATCATATTTTCATGCTTTTTTAAAAAAATCAGTTTAAAAAATGAGAAGTGTATATATTGTGAGTAGTTTCCAGAGGCTGTTGGTAAAGTATGCTGTATCCCTTTAAGTGTACATCAGAAGAAAAGTTAGGATTCTTTTGTGCAGTTAAGTAAATATGTCATTTTTTTTGGTCACTTTTTTTTCCCCACTACTCTCAGAAATCTGTAATTATTTCCTCATTTTTCTATATCTGAATTTGTACCAGGTTTTAGTGTATAAAATAATTCAAGTTCTCCATTCTCCTTTGGATTCATCCCTTTATAACGGTAGAAAGACCCCTGAACTAAGAGGTTAGGTTTAAAGCCCCTCATCTTGGCTGTACCACTCACTACCTCTGAATTTATTTTAAAGGTTTTATTTATTCATTTATAGAAAAAGAGCAAGGGGAGGAGCAGAGGGGGCAGGAGAGGGACAGACAGACTAAACTGAGCATGGACCCGATGCTGGGCTTGATCTCACAACCCTGAGATCACGACCTAAGCTGAAATCAAGATTTGGATGCCTAACCAGCTGAGCCACCCAGATGACCCATAGAATTTTCTAAACAGGCGATTTAACCTCTTTGGTGCTCAATTTTCTTATCTCTATACGGGGATACACCAGCCATACTTCAGAAGATTGTGAGTAGAATGTTAGGTCACCTATATACATATATAGTGTAAAGTGCTATACAGATAAAAATTTATTTTGTGGTAATTATTCATATTTTGATATTTTTCAGTCTGTCAATGGGAAAAACAGACCCTCCTTGCCTTGTACACTGCGGATATTTAAAGATTTTTTAGGTAGAAAACTTTTACTACCTCGTCCTATAACCAACTCTAATATTTTTCTCCAGATATCCCTAATATGTATGTTTATCTGTCTGTGTAACTGATGTGTTTCAGTATGTTAAGCCTAGAATTTGGGAGGTGAAGAGAATAGTAGTAAATCACAATTATTTTCTGTATTCTTGGGGTTAAGCCTCATCAATTGTGAATTACTTTATGTGCAAGTAAAGGTGTAAGAATTAGTATATCCTCAGTCTAATTGGATGCAAAAAGCTGATGGTTTTTGGATATAGATAGTCCTTTTTTTCCTCCCTTTTTGATGCAAGTATCCTTAGGACGTCCCTTTCTCTTATTAAACTTACAGTCACTGCCATCAGATATCATTGGTTAACATTACTGCTTTTGCCTTTTGCCAGTAATTCCTGCTTTCAGCTCTTCCTTTCACATCTTTGCCCAGTCCTACATCTCCCTAAAATTAACAAAGGAAGTTATTCTTACGTATAGTTAGTTCTAGATTCTCTGTGCCAGTGGGGGAGAACACTGAGTTATCAAAATCATTAATAACCACAGTGGCTTACAACCATATAGCAGCTTTGGGGAGAACAAACTTATTAGTAAGTACTTTATAGCCTTTTTAAATAAAATCCTGTTCTCTAGCGACTGTCTTCCCCAGTTGGATGCACGCCTTCTTTTGTTTCTTGTTTCTTTAATATCACTGTTCCATTCACCTTACTGTAACTGAAACCCAAAGACATTGGTTCTACTGCAACATTTCTTTTTTTAACTTACAGGAAACATGGAGCAAGGACAAAAGTAGAGAGATGAGTGTGATGAATCTTCCCCCTTGTATCCGTTATCAACAATAATGTTCTTTTTTAAAGCAACTGTTTGAAATTGCAGATACCATATTTTACCCTAAAACACTTTAACAATAATTATCATAAACAAGACAATCTTGCTTCATATATATCCCATCTTCCTTCTTCACCCCATCCCCTAGATTATTTAGAAGTAAATCCCAGATATTAGATAATTTTATCAGTAAAAATTTTAATATATTTAAAAGAACTTTTTTTTTTTTTTTAGATTTTTTTCTTTTTTTTTTTTTTTTTGTCAGAGAGAGGTGGGGGCCACAAGCAGGGGGAGCAGCAGGCAGAGGGAGAAGCGGGCTCCCTGCTGAGGAGGGAGCCTGATGCAGGACTTGATCCCAGGACCCTGGGATCATGACCTGAGCCGAAGGCAGATGCTTTACCAATTGAGCCACCCAGGTGTCTCTAAAAGAACTCTTTTTTAAAAAACACAGCCTCAATCCCACTGTCATACTTTTAAAAATTAACAATAAAACCAAGGAATGATCAAATATCAAAATCCACTGTAAGTCTTTTATTTTGAAAGTGTTCAAATCCACAGAGAAATTAAATAGATTGATTATTTAACATTTTTTCACCTTTGCTTTCTCCCCTCACCGTGTGTGTCTATGTATGTAGTTGTACGGCAGTTACCCAAAATTAGTATCTTAAAACATTTTAATATCTCTTGTAACTCTGGATTGTCTGGTTGTGACTAGGTTGTAACATCCAAGATGGCTCAGCTAGGCACCTTAGTGATGTTGGCTGGACAGGTCCATTGGGGTGGCTGGATATCCTCCCCATTCTTTCTTTCCCTTCCCCCTCTTCTCTTCATCTTTTCATCTCCACGTAATCTCAGGGCCTGTCCCTCTCCACATGATCTTTCCAGCAAGTTAGCCAGCTTCTTACATGATAGCTCAGGGCTCCCAGAGCACAAAAGGGGACGAAGCTGCCTGGCCTCCTTAATGTAATGTTTAGGCTCAGAGTTAGCAGGGAATCAGTTCCACCACATTTTGTTCTTAAAGCAGTCACAGTGAGAATCTACCCAGATTCACTCTGGGGTGACTACACAAGAGTACCAATACCGACAGTGACAATACTCTCTAGTTCATTGGAAGCCATCTTTGCAGACTACGCATGTGCACACATGCACTTTTCTTTTTTAAAGTAACTGTTTGAAATTGCAGGTAACATATTTCACCCTAAAACACTTCAGCCTGAATCTCCAAATATATGGAAATTTTCCTACATAACAGTTACCGCCCCTAACAATTCTAACAGTGTTTCCATATATAATTCTAGTATGAAGTCCATATGCATTTCCCCAATTGTCTCATTCGTGTGTGTGTGTGTATGTGTATGTGTGTACACCCAAAGCTTACCCACTGCATTTAGTTGTTAGGTCCTGTTAGTATTTAGTCAAGGCCAGTTTTTCTTTGAAAGACTACCATTATGGATTGCCCTACTGTTCTTTAAGTATAAGTTGTTTTTTCCCCTATACCCTGATAATTCAGAGCCTGGAGATGGGATAGGTTTTCTCCTTGTTGCCCTCTGCCATCTCCATCCCTTTGGTCTCCTTTTATCCTGCAAAAATCCCAGCTCCTTGAAGTATAAGACCTCAAACTTTGCCTCCTATTTTCTCCTTCTATAGCTGTCTTTTACCTTTCATTCTCTCTTATCAACATTCTTAGAGCATTCAGCATCTTCATAAATGGTCCTTTCAACAGCCTGGTTTCTTAATTCCTGATCTTAATTCTAAATCTTTTTCGTACCCCATCTTGATCACTGATAGAAGTCCTATCCTAAATTAGTGGTTCTCATAGTATGTCCCTAGATCATCAGTATCATGTGGGAACTTGCTGGAAATGCATCTGTGGCCCCACCCCAGACTTACTGTAATAAGAAACTCTGGATATAAGAGTCAGTGTTTGGTGTTTTGATTCCAAATGATTCTGATGCATGGTAGTTTGAGAACTGATCCCCTTGACTTTGTCTTCATCAGTAACTGTACTGCCTTTGAAATCTTGATTTCGTATATCCTTCTCTCCTTCCAGCTTACTTAGTGTTATGTTCTGTTTTCAGTGATAACTTGATGTCATTAAAATTTCCAGTTGGGGGGTGCCTGGGTGGCTCAGTCAGTTGAGTGTACGACTCTTGATCTTGGCTCAGGTGTTGATCTCAGGCTTGTGAGTTCAGGCCCCATGTTGGGCTCCATGCTGGGTGTGGAGCCTACTTTTAAAAAAAAAAAAAAAAAAATTCTTTTTTGCTATTGAGCAACTCTTGTCACTTTCCCATCCTGTGGGCCAATCTTGGTACTCTCCTCTCCTTCCTCTCTTTTCTTTTGTCACAGTCACCTGACACAGCCTAGCTCCCAGCTCAACTAGTTTTGTATTCCATACAAAACTGAAGGTTACTGGAGAAAATCACAATTTCGTGCTGACTAGACTTCTCTCTTATTCATGACTGCACTCTTAAGTGGGCACCAAATGTGACTAGTCAGTTCTGTCATACTTCCTTAGTAAATTTCTTTTCTCATTCTCTGTTATGTCTTCCTCAAATCTCCACTTCTCTTTCCACACACACTCTAGCTTTATAGCTAAGCTGTGTGCTTTTCAAAGAGGAGAGATGTAGTCAGATGAAAACTCTGCCTATGTTACAGAGGAACTAGCCTGGCTCTTATGTAAGGCCAGTCCCTCTATTCATATTCAGAATTTCACCCACTGTGCCGTCTAAAGACCTTTTCTCTTGAAATTTTACACTCTCTCTCCTGCATCTGGTCTTCCCTCTCTTTTAAGTTATTCTTGTCTGGGGCACCTGGGTGGCTCAGTCGTTAAGTGTCTGCTTGAGGCTCAGGTCATGATCCCAGGGTTCTGGGATTGAGCCTTGCATGGAGCTCCCTGCTTGGTGGGAAGCCCGCTTCACCCTCTCTCACTCCCCCTGCTTTGTTTCCTCTCTTGCTGTCTCTCTCTTTCTCTCTAATAAATAAATAAATAATTCTTGTCCGCCTTAATTAAAAAAAAAAAAAAGATTTTTTTAATTTATTTGACACACACACACACACACACACACACACACACACACACACACAGATAGATCACAAATAGGCAGAGAAGCAGGCAGAGGAGGAGGGGGAAGCAGTCTCCGGGCTGAGCAGAGAGCCTGATCCGGGACCCAGGCACCCTTTGTCTGTCTTAATTTTAAAGTGATTAAAACCCCATCTTTAGGGGCACC